CTCCAATGTAGGGGGGGTGTTGCATTGTTAAGAGGCTCTGTACTTCAGATGAAGACATTAAACCCAGGTCCCAATCTACCTGTTCAAATGAACGTTAAAGATTCCAAAGCGCTATTCGAAAAGGGAATGGTGTTTCTCATGACATCCAGGCCAACAATCCCCCAGATTCAATCACTCATTCACTCGCTTCATGGCTGCTTGTGGGTCATTGCTATGAGCAAATTGGTTGCCACGTTCACCCGCACAAATGCACAGTCCCTGTACACCTCGGTAAATCCCGCAAAAGGGCTTTGAGACGTTTCGACGACGTGACGAGGCACCATATCAAATGTAAGGATTATTTTTACGTTGTTACTGTGAACGGTATTTTTTTTCACTGGGGCAGCTTTCAAGTGTCCAAGAACCAGAACATTTTTTTTAAAAAACAAAATCATTCAAACAAAAAGTGGATTCACGAGTTGTATCGTTTACTGCACAGCTGCACTTAACCATATTTCTGAGGCCATGATAACTAACCTGCGCTGTGACACAGAGGGTTTCACCAGCCAAAAAACACCCAACAATTGCCAAGAACGCCAAGATTTATGTCTATTAGATTCATTCAACTTGCTACCCTTTCAGCCATCAATCTTCCCTTCACCTCACCTCATAAAGTGTGCCTTTACTACTAGCGAACTGACTGAACTAACCTTGAAGTGGACACTTTGGTTTATTGGATGTTGGCTGGGGCAAGAAAATGAGTTCGCTCGCTCGCTGCTGTCTACCCAGAAACATGTCCGAGTCAGAATAATCCAGAATTTCGCCCACAAAATACAGTCAATCCACTTTGCAGTATATTCTGTGAAGCGCTTTGAGACGTCTCAACTGCGTGGTAAGGTGCTATATCAAATGCAAGGATTATTATTATTAATATGATGATGGATCGAAGTTTTAATCGAGTCCTTTGGTAAGTTATTTCTCAACTACACTTTTTTTCTACCAAAGTCTAGAGGAGATGAGTTGCTGAGGTGCTGTTGCACAAGAGCCAGTCAGGCCCCTTCTGGTGTCTTGCCCAAACCACCATTCCTCATGTGTGAGGCAGTGAGAGTTGGCAGCTTATTTGACAGTAGGGTGGGGGCAGTCAGAGCCGTGCCAGTCCGCTTCCTCAACCGACGTCCACAAAGGAAAGAAAAATATTTTGAAAGTCTCAACAATTTTAAACGTCCACACGTTCGCAGGCTTGGGTCAGACCAAGTCAATGAGTGACAGTCCCAGAATCGCTTCACACACACACACAAAAAAACATCTCAAGGTGAATTAAGGACTGACTGAACCCAGGTCTACCAGGGACAGGTACCTGCTGGGTTCTTGCACATGTCCTCACCACCCACGAAAACCTAGGACACCCACGGAGTCCTGTAGCTCAGTGGTTACAGCACTCGCCTCGCAAGCGAGAGACCTGGGTTCGATTCCCGGCAGGGCGAAACCTTGGGCAAGTTTCCTTACTCCACACTCCTGATAATAATCCCTCAAGAAAAAAAAATAATAAATTGATCACTTTCAATCCACGACTGTTTGTGGGACGCTGCTGTGCGCAATTGGTTGCCGCATTCCGCCCACAAATATACGGTCAATTCACTTTACAGCATCCTCTGTGAAACGCTTTGAGACGTCGAGAAGACTTGAAAAGCTTTGTATCAAATGCAAGGATTATTATTTATTTTTATGTCCTTGTCAATTAAAAAAGTTTGGGGAGGACTTGTAACTGTGCCAGTTTTCTCTTTGGTTCTTTAATCCCACGTTACTGTTTTCAGAGGAGAAAACAGGCAGCTTTGTCTACCTGCTTAGCTGGGAAAAGACACTAAACAGACTTGGAAACCCTAGGTACCTACTCCTGGCCTGCATTACTGATCTCAGTGAGGGCTACATCAGTCCTCTTTGGGTTAGGGAGCAGAAACTAGCCAGGGTTTCTATCCCGACCATTAGCCCCCCACAACTCCCCCTAGCCCTCACACCCCGGGATGTCCTTCAGATGTTTGAACCAACCTGCGGTGGGAATGAGGAAAGCAGCTGTGGCTTAAATAATTCTCCACATTGATTTCTTTTATTATTTGAACAGAGAACCGTGCTCAGTTGAAAAATGCGAAGAATGAGATGGGATATCCTGTAGTCTGACCGCTTCCGCTCCCCCCCCCACCCCCCCCTTGGCAAGAGGGTGAAGGAACAAAAGGTTTTGCTTTGAGGTGTGCGCTTGTGAGCTGTTAAACAAATTGCAGGATGGTTGAGCGAATGAGTCATGGACAGAGAGAGCGAGAGCGCGTGGTGGCCAAGGTGTTATCTGTCTGGCCTGCCACACAGGTTAACCTCGGAGTGACTGATTGACAGGTTCCTTACGGCAAGTGTCTCCTCAGACCTGAACCACAGCCTCAGTCACTCATTCGACAGCAAAATAAACAAATATCTCCTTAAAGCAACAGATGGACAAAGGGTGTTTTGTTAGCTGAGGGGCACAGATGTAGAAGGTCACGAAGGGATGTAATCTATTCTAATCCCTAAAAATAGCAATCTTTTCCTCTAAATCGTTAAAGATTTAGGAAAATTTAGGGCAGTTGACCTTCCCCCGCACCCCCCCTCCACACACACACACAAGCTTACACAACTCGATCATTCAGAAAATAAGAGCAACAACAACAGCCAGCACGTCTCTCACGCAGAGCGCTTAATCAGCAGGAATATTACAACCAAATCTATCTGGGAATAAGACAATTCACACCATGCATTGTAAATGCTTGTTAAAAGCTGATGATTTGTAGCTGTCTATAGACTTCTGATTGTACTGGATCCTCTATCCTGTACACTAACTACATTACGTGCTTAACACAGCAGCTGACAGTAGCGGAGGCTTATATGTGTAGGTGATGGAGGAGCTGGTGTCTGAGAATGAGACAGGTTGATGCCACCTGGAGGCTAACTCTGGAGATCACAGTTCCTGGTACCTACCATCTCCACCTGGTGGGGGTTCAAACCCGTGTTTGTCGGATGTCTAACGGCAAACTAATGACTGTCCTCCTTGGGTGAAGGTAAGCGGGTTCTTCTTGGGATCAAGCCAGCAGTCCGTGGCAGGCTCGGTAGTCCGGTTCCTGAGCCAGACAGGTCCGTGGTATTCCAGGGCACTGCTGATGACAGCACAGCCCAACCTGGCTTATCAACAGGATGTCGGACGGGCTTTGGGGATTGCGTACTCTTCTCTGTGCTTGAGTTTGACTTGAGTTTGAGTTTTGCCCCTCTCACCCAGGCTGGTGAGGTTCATACCCTCTATTGGAATTGGCACTTGTATGTCTTTGCCTGCGGCCTCTGGCGTACCGTTCCCTTGTATTCTGACATGTACCGTTACTTGTTTGCAACCTCGTAGTCTGAAATATGACCAGCGATACAAAATGTAAACATCAGACAGTTTAGATTGAACAGCCATGGTTACATTGGCACCAACCTGGAGTGAGGAATCTGCTCTGCAGTCTCTACTGCAACCTACTGGTGGGTCCAATTCAGTACAACAGCTAAGTCCTCTCGTTTATAATAATCATTGCATTTGATACAGCGCCTTTGAAGACGTCTCAAAGCGCTTCACAGCATATACTGTAAAGTGAATTGACTGTATATTTTGTGGGCGAAATGTTATGTCATGAGATGCTCCGGTAACAGTTGGGAAGGATGGCACAATGGGATTACTCTGGACATTGTATAGTCCCTTTACGTCAGGGGTTGCAGCAGTAAGCTTGGTATTGTTCAAAAAGAGCAGGGAGTTTGTCTCCCAGAGTCCTGGCCAACAACCCTCCAGATAAAAACCATCAACCCGCTTAGTGCGGGATGTTGCTGCGTGCAAATCGGCTGCCGCATTTGCCTATGAAATACACAGTCACTACACTTTACCGAAAACTCTACGAAGAACTTTACCGCCTCATTCTGTGTAAGGTCTAATGCTGGTTACACAATGAGCAATGTGGCTTCAACATCACAGCCGTTAAGTTCATGACTGAAGCAGACTCAAGAAATCGAAACTGAAACTTGGAGCCAAAACCCAGTTTATCAGTTGCAGCCAGAAATCTGTAAACGTTGAAACTGTTTCTCTCAATGCACGTGCATTTGGTTTTACTGAAATGTCACCAGCGGTATCTCCAACCTCACATTTGCCAGAGTTTTATGCTGGTAACAGTTATCAAGACTAACACCAACAACAAAATTACATTTACAGAGCGCCTTTCACGTCGGGAGGACGTCCCAAGGCGCTGAACAGTCAGGCGTTGTGACCGAGCATGGGGGAGGAGTGGGGTAGGGGTGAGGGAAGGCAGAGAGGTGGAAGGGCCACCAAAGACACGATTGAAGAAAAGGGCCTGGAGACCGGCCTTGAAGGAGGCGAGGGAGGAAGCGAGGCGAAGGAACCGTGGCATGGAGTTCCAGAGAGTGGGGGCAGAGAGGCTGAAAGCCCGGCCACCGATGGTAGGGCGGGAGACATGGCGCAGACCGGAGCCCGATGAACGGAGGGAGCGGGCAGGTTGGTAGAGAGTCAGCAGGTCAGAGAGGTGGGTAGGAGGGGGCGAGGCCATGGATGGCCTTGAAAGTGAAGACTTGAAAGAAAGAGTAAATCTGCATTGTTCGTTTACGGTGGGACCCACTTGCTCATAATGCTTCACCACTCACGGAGTCCTTAGTGCCGCGGTTAGTGCACTCGCCTCGCAAGTGAGAGGACACAGGTTCCATTCTCAGGCAGGGCAAAACCTTACGCAAGTTTCCTTACTCCACACTCTTCTGTTTATCTGTGCAGGGATTATTATTCTTATTATCATTCATTTACAGAAAGTTGTGGTTCAAATGCTGATCAGTTGAGGTGCCTGTTTAATTCGAATATAATGAAGCCAAATGGAAAGCCCCACCCTTGAGATGTTTTCCAAGACCCTTGAATATTTTAAAGCATGTGATTTCCTGTAAATGATGGTTGGTTCAAAATCTATGTTGAAAATTTAGGGAGTTTCCCAGTTTGCACAGAACTAACCGCGAAGGCAGTGAGGTCAGCTCAGCAGTGTGGAGATTGATGCTGAGGAGACAGATAGTGAGCATTAGTGCGGAGAACACACTGTCTTAACTTGATATTCTCAGGCCACGATGGGCTCCACTGAACACTGCGTTGGGTGGGTTGTCACAATAACCTTTAGTTTGGTCGTTCTAATAATTGTTGTATCAGTTATATCTACGTCACAGTGTAACAAACAAAGCCTAGAGCGGACAAACGATAACCAGGGTCTAGCGGAAAAGAACAAATGGCTGGTACAGAACGTGACCACAATGATGGAACAGCTGGTGCAGATCAAAAGAAAGTTCGAAGAATCACAGTCATCGTTGATGACCTGCCGGGCGGACTTGGTGAGTACAGCAGTAGATATAGCTGGGGTTATCTCTATCCCCTACCCCACTCCTCTGCTCATGCCCTGGGCTTGACTGACTAGGGCGATTGCGCTGAATTCATTCTCCACATGACCATCACTAGCTGAATCTTCAACTACAATATTCATAACCTGTACGACTCTTTCCCTCTTCCCCTCCATCTGGACGGCGTTCTTTAAATCCCACCCAAACCATCTGCCTCTTTGACCATGTCTATGGGCACCTACTCATTCTCACCCCTGTTCAGTGTCCGAACCCTTCGATGTAAAGGGCTCCGAGACCTGGGTAACAGTGCTACATCACCAGATTGTTTGTGGGGTCACTGCTGTGCGCAATTGGCTGCCGCGTTTCACCCACAACATATACAGTCAATTCATTTTACAGTATATTCTGTGAAGCATTTTGCAACGTCTCGAAGACGTGATAAGGCGCTACATCAAACGAAGGGATTATTATTATTACCAACACAAAATATTGTTGTTGTGGTATAAAGGGCTTCCTTATTGGGGTTTCAGGAGTGCTCACCAGTTGTTTAGTCATCTATGTTCAATAAAGCCTTGGGGTTTTATACTGCAATGATGGATCAATTGGTTTGCTGGGTAAAAATCAGGCTAATAAAACAGCGATCACAAGTTAATACTCCCGCTGGAACGATCTTCCTATTAACAAAGGTTCGTTGCTGGGCATTTGTGGGTCTGTTAGTTTTAACATGAATAAGTGTAACATGGTCATTCATTTTAGTGTATGCCAATCACTTGTTAAATCTGTCTATGAAAACGCATGAAACACGAGTCTGTGGAAGACTGGTTATCGTTGGTGGTGGCCAAATAGGAACTTCCAGAGAGAACCTGAGGCGCCCTTTGTGTTTGACACAAATGCGGAACACCAACAAGGCATTTTGGTTTGCTAGTCAAACCGATTCCACCAGTGAGCGAGTGTAATAATGAAAAGGGAGACGCTCCCTTAAGTCTGGTTATATCAATCAGTTGACTTGAGAGGTAGCGAGGGTGGGGGTGGAACCTGGAATTTCCCGGATGCGTAATATACCAACAAAGGATTCCTAATCTTGGACAAATTGTTTTTCCTGAACAAAAATCCCCAGAGTAACAATAATAATTTGATGCAATATCTACAAGAGGAAGAAACAGATCTCGGAAGTACGTTCCTAACCTTTTTCGAGTTGTTTTAGCTGCGTGATATTTTAGCTATGTGAGACGTCTCAACGACATGATAAGGCGCTATATGAAATGTAGAGAGAGACTGAGACAGAGACTGAGAAACATGATTAAACTAAACTCAATCCACGACTGTTTGTGGGACACTGCTGTGCGCAATAGTCCGCTGAATTTTGCCTGCAATAAACCCAGTCACCACACTTTAAAGTATATTCTGTGAGACGTTTCGACGACGCGCTTCATCAAATGCAAGCGTTATTATTATTATTATTAGAAAAGTTAGCAATTAAAAAGTTACAAGAGAAAACGTCTTTTTCAGACTGCCGTGAAGCGCAATGCTACCGCTCTGAAGAAAATTGTGACTCAGCTCATAGACAAGAACGCCGAGCTGAACCATACTCAAAACTTTCAGCAAGGTTAGTGGCTGTTTAGCTCCTTGTCTCTGTGGGATCAGATAGTTACAAGTTACACAGGCAGAGGCTGGGTTGGAATAGCCCTCACCTCCTCCCTCGTTCCCCGCACCCCTCAACTCATTTGCAGTCCGACAGACCTGGGTCAAAAATCACACGTAAGGATATTCCATTATTCTCACACCCTCTGCCGTTAACACAGGCCCAGAAACTTAAGAGATCCAGGGAAGACCGGTCAAGCTGTCATTGTTGGCTGTTTGGAGAGAGCGATGCATTATTACCAGATGTATTGAACCCATTGGGTACATGAGCTGTGTGTCAGCCTGGCTCAGTGCTAGCACAATTGCTTCGGAGTCAGAAGATTGTGGGTTCCGGATTTGGAAATTCATAGTCTAATCTGGGCGGGTGTTACATTGTCGGAGATGCCTTCCTTCAGATGAGATGTTAAATCAAGGTCCCAACGAGGGACACATGTATCTGACAACTGGAAGATTTACCTGCTGAATGGGGAGGGGTTAAGGGAATTTATTGGGCTAGCAAATGTATATCAAATATCAAAGGATTATTTGGTTATTGTTCAGATGCAGCCCAGAAAAAGATACATGATCTGAACAAAGAGATTAGAAAATACAAAGAAAACCTCATGAAATCCAACAACGAGCTGAAGGAGACAAAGGAGAAGTTTCAGGAAGAAGTGTAAGTGATGATGAGGAGTCACATCCTCCCTGTGTGGAACACGACTGTTTGTGCACAATTGACTACCGAGTTTCATCCACAAAATACAGTCAGTCCACTTTACAGTATATATTCTGTGAAGCTCTTTGAGACGTCTCAAGGTATTTGTGTAAACACAAAATTCATCTCTTATAGGAAGAGGTGCAAAGGTCAACCAGTGAAGAACACCGCCATTAGACCCCAGGATTGCCACATCTCCTTCATCCTGTCCATTCTTCTGGCCCTGTTTCTCATGGAGCTTTGCAGTTAATGGTAAGTCTGACAATTTACTACCCAGATCTTTTACAAATAGATTTCAGCAGGTGCCAAATGGTTCTCTGGATTTATCATTTTCTCTCCGTAGAGACGCTTTATGACGTCCTCCTGACACGAAACTGGTGTGAGCACAAGGTTGAAGGGCTTCAACGGCAGCAACAACTAACCTCCTGCAACTTACTCCAAGTTTCCTGCTATCACTACCCTTTAATTTTAAGTAAAATACTGTACACAACTACTTTTAAAACGATAAGGCATGATTTCAAAAGGCAAGCGTTACCACACAAGCTGTTAGACAAACTGGGAGTTGCAAGTAGGAGTGAAAGAAAGGTGTGAGAAAGAGAGCGAGCAAGGGAAAGAACAACATTTTGGGCAAATAGTTCTTTAGACAATGGTCATTCCTCTACCCACAGCAATAACAATCAACTCTTAGGTGATGAGGCCCCACCTCAATAGGCATTAAATAATGTTCAACTGGTTTCAGAGTCTCTCCGTCTCCCATTCACCAACTAGTTAATACTTAGTTTCAATTTAATCTCAATTTTTGTAAAACATTTGAGTTGCTTGCTGTGAAAGATGCTGTAAAAATAGGTTTTGTATTACTTGAAAATAAAAATATTTTGTACTCATTTGTTTTTGCATAAATCGACGGAACTTGATTGAACTGAGCTCTCACTGTTTTGGATAAAGATTTCAACGCTGAGACCAGCAGTTATACTGTATGACAACATAATGTTTGGGTTGGGGGGGTGGTGGGGGCGGGAGGAGAAATCAAAAGGGTAACCACTCTTTTGAAGTGCTTAAAAAAGCAATTCTCCGCAATTTTTTCATCATTCTCTCTCACACAAACGCACGCACGCACCCACTCACACAATTTCTCTATTCGCCTATGAAACACAGTTATTACACATCATAGTGAAATCCTGCGAAGCGCTTTGAGACGACCTGTTGACCTGACACCCTATTACTTCTGAGAAGCACTGTATCAAATGCTCGGATTATCATCATTTTTTTTTTTTAAATCAGCAGAACATTTAACATTTGGGCAACCCTGTGTTTGGAGAGCTTCGACCTGGACAGAGCCAGGATTCCAAAGTTTCGTTCCAGGTTGACCAGCTCATACCGTAAAGAAATACACAACCATTTTTGAAAGTTTATCTGATTTTTTTTTTAATTTTTCAGACAACAATTTGCACGTTTCTCCTCCCCTTTAAGAACTACTTCTTTCCTCCGGGTTGGCCCCGAGTTGATTAGTATTTTTATAAATGATTTTTCCCCAAATAACTACAGTTTAAAAAAAAAATCAACTTTTTTTCCCCCCACCTCTCCTGACACATCATTAATATTATAAAAAACACACTTCCTAGCAGATCTCACATGACTTTGCGACTGCATACCGATCAAAAGACAAAAACACGTGGATCTGATGCAGTTATTGGGAAACTCAACCATTTCAAGTGCTGGACACAGAATAGCACCTTCCATTCATTCCTACAATAATGTGCCTGTCACTCTACAAGTACCGGAAAGCCATTGAACAATTGTTTGCCCTTCTGTTGCTGATTAGTGGGGATTTGATACCAAGCGATGTTAAAAAATACCATTATATACAGCACTGTTCAGTGGGCAACAAAGACATTGTTGAAAGCTGGAATCTCCTTGCAGAGTTCTGTCTGACTGGTTACCTATTGTCTGCAATAAATCCTACCTATCTTTGTATCAACGGTCAGGCCTTCAGCCTCTCTGCCCCCCCTTTTGGAACTCCATCCCACAGTCCCTTCTCCTTGCTTCCTCCCTTGCCTCTTTCAAGACCCTCCTCTTCGACCATGCCTTTGTTCACCCATCTACCCCTACCCTCCCTGCCCTTTATCCCTCCTGATTCCCAAACCCGTCTGTCCAGCGCCTTGGGACGTCCTCCTGACGTGGAAGGCACTATACCATTGTAACCTATTGTTTTATAAACTCTGGATATGCCACTTCATTCCCCCCTTTCTCCGTCTTTTGCATTGGATGACTTTTTGGCAGTTTTTCTACCCAAGTCGAAAGGCTCATGCAAATGATTTTTCCTCCTCTACTCCCAGTCTGGCTATCCTATCCTGGTTCCTCTGCATCACCCCAATGACATGCCTCAGCATTAACCCAACCTCAACATTTCCCCCTTTGGCACCATCATGGGGTTTCACATTCTCTTGTGACCTGAGGTTACCAATTTAGTACCAATCCTCGAGCAGCTTTGTTCAGCCACTGACTACTTGGGTTGAGACTGTTCCAAACGTACTTCATGCAGGAGCTGCTGCAGTTGGCAGCAACATGAGACTTTTGAACTCAGGTTCCATCTCTTGAAAAGAGTGTTTGCTAACACGTGACACCAGTTCCCAGATAAGGAGGATTTCAGTTCTTTAGCAAACACAGTAATAGTAAGAGACAATCCCAGAACATAAAAACATATGGTCAAACTTTAGTCCTATTTTATTGAAACACATTTCAATGAGCCACCATTCACTGCCACATCAATCCCTCAATTCCTTTGCTCGCAATTCCATCTCGTATTGGCACAATTTCATCAGCAGTCTTCTCCACACACCTCATTAACCTACTCTATCCCACTTCCATTGCTTCTCCCAAATCAACATACCCTCACCCACAAGTTTTTATCCCCTGAACAAAATACCAGCCCATTAAAATCATTTCCTACCCACTCCCTTGCCCTTCATTAACCTCCGTCCTCTTTCCTCTCCACCCAAGTCAAGCTCTTAGTTCAATAAACAGCAACACAACGTAAAACAAATAGGAGTATATCTAGCAGCACACTTGAGTGCCAGGCAGCATCTCCGAGACCATTCTAAAGCACCTTTAGTTGGACTCAAATATGAAGAATAGCTTGTTCCGAAGATGAGAAAAAAAAGCCAATTGTTACTCAAGAACAGTACACTGTAATTCACATCAATGCAGAGTAAAGGGACATCACCAAGGAGATGATGGTTCTGCTCACAGATTTCAATCATTCCACCAAAACCTCTTGTAAAGGTTGAACGTAAAAACACAACACACAAAAAAAAAATCTATCAACACCAATGATTTTCGTCAATAAAACCCCATCCTTAATTTTATGGAAGCTATGGTTGACCTACTTCCTACGAGGACTCACTTGCTATCATCTGCTGGAGACCTGGAAAGAGTGGGAACAGCCCCAAGTCCCAACTGGGTCCTCATCCCACAGCCAGGCATCTTGCGAAGAGAGACCCAGAGCATGTGGAGAACAAGTAAAACGAGGGCCTCAGACTTTGGGAAGGGGTGAGGTAAATGGCCTCAGGCCGTATTATGAACACTACCAGTGCAGAAGAAATGACTCCGCTGCAGAACTCAATCGCAACCCCCCCCCCCGCCCCCCCCAAATGCACAAACAAAAAGACAATTACATTGTAAGCAAATGCTAATACATTTGTTGGATGAGACACACAAGTGAATACAGCAAAACCCACTCGAGATTGACTCCCAATGCGAGTAATCGCACAAGTTCATTTCTTCCTATGTACAGACATGTACCCTTGCCATGCCCATCATTTATCACACACATCCTATTACTTTCTTTCTCTTTCTCGCCCTCCCCTCTCCACGCATTGAATGATTAAGAGAGAGAGCGAGAGAGAACAATAATATAAAACCAAGTACTACAATAGTCAAATTCACACGTTTCCCTTTTCATATCCTGGACGTATTCATTTGGTTCTCATGTTTAGAGACGGCTGCTTCCTTTGCCCAATTGGCAGAAATCCTCTTAGAAGCATCGTTGATGGCATTCCACGGAATGTGTGGTGGGGTCCAAATCGCAAGATTTACAACGCAACATATTGTATTTAAGAACCATTAGGGCTGCATTCCAATGCAAGGTCTGATGGTTTCCTACAGGGTAATATTTACACTTTGCTATCAAAATCTAGGTTGAAGAAAAAAATTCAGTAATAACAACCTATTAAAAAAAACACAAACTAATTATAATCAAATCTTATCTAAGATCAATTAATTTTCTTTCTCTCTGCCAAATGGTGATCGATTAAGATCAAGTTTCTCCATCAAACCCTTTGGAACATCACAGTTACAGTTCCAAAAGTCATGGTCTTGAGCCTCAGGACCTACCCACCTTGCAAACCTACTGTGGCAGCTATGGACAAGAAACATGTACAATGTTTACCCCACCACCCCCACCCAAGTTAAGTCATGCCATGGGACTTGCTGGCTGGATTAACACTTGTCCAAAACAGGCTAGCAGCATGGGAGTGGCATTGGTCAAATAGGCTAGCGCCATGCAGCTGGCACTTGCCAAATATATTGTTTCATTATTCATTAAGAAACTCAAGTTAATCACCTCCTGACATCATCACTAGTGCGGATCAGTAGGATGGATTCAAGTGTTTTGAGGATCAGGAAAGCTAGGAATCCAAGCCTATGATCTGAGTGTCAGTCAAAGTCTCACCATGTTAACCAGTGAACCAGTTAACCTATCTATCCGTCTTTAATGCTTTCACACTAGTTACCTTCATCTGTCTCACAGCTTGGCCTATGCTAGGTAAAGCAATACAAGATCTAGTGTCTAAGTTATCACAAAGCAAGTCAAACGTTGCATACATGTACAGGCTTTAAGTCATTAAATGTCTAAGTGCTTCTCTAGCCACAAGGGCTTCAATTGGTCTGACTCCAGGAGGTGGTTCAACCTAGGATTCTGCTTTAATGACCATCATCCTCCTTCAGAGTTTAATACCTTCTTTCTGCAAGAAAGAGAGAAAGAGACAGATGGACAGACGGACGCATACACACACAGGGAAAGACACACCAACTTAGATATGTAGAGAGAGAGAGAGAGAGCGACAGACAAAGCAAGCATAGAAAAAAAGGCAATATTCCAGGGTTAACAAAGATCACAAGAGAAACATTATCCCACTCTTATTTGTGTCAAAAAAAAGCTTTGACGAGTGTTAGATTTTTAATAGAAAATAGGGTCATCTCTGAAGTTAAGAAAATCTGCACAAGGCAGTGTAGAGCACGTAGATTTTCATTCCAACCGGCTTGACTGTTTTCTACCTCAGAGGTGAAGGAAGTGCAAGCAATGCAAAGCTCACTTCAAATAGCTCTTCTGCGAACAAGATTTTAAGTAGATAACGGGGTGAGGGTTGTGACAAGTGTTAGATGTTTTAAAAGAAATGAAGACAGCGTATCAGATGCAATCGCAACGCTTCCACGCTGCTCATCACCCACAAAAACATGATATCACATACAACCGCAGCTGTAGCTAAAGTTGTACCTTGAGTTAATTTTTTTTTGAAGGGGGGGGGGTGGAGAAAAGGAGGAGGAAGGGGAGAAAGGAAAAAAAAAAAGGGTGCGTGTCAGGTTATTTTTCCTTCCATTTTCCAAACTCAGTGATGCATCTTGCAGTTTATCTTTGCCGCGGAATGTTCCAGAACATTCAGCATCTCCCGAACAATGGTCTGGAGCGCTCCTCCGAGCTGTTCGGCAGAGTACGGCTTTCCCAGAGGAGGTACGTGAACGAACGCCGATTTTCCGTGGCTCAAATGTAGGGAGGCGTAGTACGTAAAGTCACACAGGTATCTGTGGGAGAACACGAGAAAATGTGCATCAGTTTTTTTTAAAAAAAATGTGAATGCGCGAGGCGGAGTCCCGTAGCTCAGTAGTTAGAGCGCTCGCCTCGTAAGCGAGAGACCCGGGTTCGATTCCCGGCAGGGCGAAATGTTGGGCAAGTTTCCTTACTCCACACGCCTCTGTTTACTCAGCAGTAAGCGGGAACCCGGTTGTTAGTCAATTGGCCGATTGCTTCTCTGGGGGGTAATAAACCCTTCAAAAAAAAATAATAATAGTAATGGTTTGGTCGCTTCAGTCCACGACTGTTTGTGCGATTGGCTGCCGCGCTTTGCCCGAAAACGTGCAGTCGATTCACTTGACATTATATTCTGTGAAGCGCTTTGAGACGTCTCGAAGACGTGATAAGGCGCTGTATCAAATGCTCGGAAATGTTTTTAATCGGAGGGAGAACTGCTCAAGGCCTTCAGGATTCTCCGCAAAAAATGAGTAACTGCGCGGTTTTATACCATCTACAGTGCTGTACCTTCCCGCGTCCTTGGAGACGGAAAAGACGACATCTAGCTGTGGTGCTGCGATCCTGTTGCAGACAGTGTCCATGTCTACTACGGACTCCAGACAGTCGGGGCCTCCCTGTATACAGCAGTGGGTGTCTGGACAATAACATTCGTTATCTAGACCCTTATAGCCGTGGTTGTGGCCGCATTTCTCCAATGTTACAGTGGTGGACATTCCTGAAACTCCCACGTGGATGAACAGCTGAAAGAAGTGTAGGGAAATCGAGACAATTTTACAGGTGGAGACGCCAGAAATTCCATCCACCTGTGTCCGAACCAATCGTTGATACGACCGTCAACTTTAGAACAGGTAAACTCACGAGAGAGGATTGGACTGAGCAAGCCCTTTAAGCCCCACTTGATCTCATTGATCCAGATTAATGCACATTAACGACCATCAGGTTACTAGATTTAAGTGCTCCTGGGTTTCCAGCTCATTCGAAGGGCAAGTTGTTGTTGTTGCAGGAAGGGTGGTTGAGGTCAGGGTGCCGGACTCGATTAAGAATGCTTGACACTCTTACAGTGAGATAGCAGGGCGGGTTTTCTGGAGGAATGATATCAAATGGATCATCTCAAACAGTCGTGTGTCCTGTTCTGAGATGATTATTGAGCAGCAAAGCAGAACACTGCTCCCTCCAGTGGCAGGGGACTGATTCTACCCAACACAATCCTTTCTGCTCTTAATAAATTGAGCCCTGACAAAATGCATTGAGATCGAGCAGTGAGGAAAAGCACCTAACCTGGGGGTTATGACGCTTCCACAGCGAGGGGATCAAATCCAGGACCTTCTGGTAGTCCACTGGGATCTCGTACACGTACAAGTCCACATCCTCACCCAAACCAAGCTTCTCCAGCTCCTGAAAGAAAAGGTAGAAGGTGAATTTGACAGCAATGGTTTAAGAGTCCGACAGGAAGATCTAATTATAATCGAAAGTTATACAAAATCGCCCATTATCAGTTGCACACAAGTGAAGAATGTTTGCGCTGTGCTTCAAGAAGCGTCCGGCCTCACAGCTGAAAAGCTTATGCAAACATGTTCGAGGGCAAAGAATTAGTCACTTGAGGGGTAATGTACCAGATCGCTGGCACCTCCCAGGCTAGCAGCAGAAGGGAGAAAATTGGGAAACCTATTGAAAATAACAGATCATGCTCTCCGAAACTCTTACAAAACTGCTCCACTTTGCTTTTTCTTTTCCAGGCTTCAAAAGCTTCCTCAAAAATAAATCTTAATTTGTATGTTTGGTCACCACCTTTCCTGCTTCCTGCTCAGTGCTTCCGACCAGAATTGTCAAGTGCTTCGAGATGTCCTTCTACATGCAAAGCATGGTGTTCTTTTCATTCTTACAATGCCCAGTTATACCTTAAGGTGAGCCGATCAGCTCCTAAGCTACGTTCAAGTTCAATGTTAAAGCGGTAGGAAGGTTGCTTTTTCGAACCAAATTGGGGATAGTCAGTCTGATCTCATGTCTTATGACAGGATGCAAATCATAACAGACAGCTCACTGATGTGGCTTGGCTCATGGGGAGAGATTTTATGAAAGGGCAAAGTTCTCAGAAGAAGGGGAAAGAATAATGCATTAAACATGAGATAACAAATTATTGGCGCTAGAAACCCTACTGTTATTATTGTAATAATAGAAAGGGAGTCTCAAAGCGCTTCACAGGATATACTGCAAAGTGTAGTGAATGTGCATTTCGTAGGATAGCGAAGTGAGAAACTCTAAAACTATTCCAAACATAAAATCCCCAAAATGCTAAGTATTATGCAGGCATTCAAAACAACGAGGTGAGTAGCAAATTGCTGTCACGTGAATTTGGGAGTTAAATGAGAGCGAGGTGTGACGATAACACGTGGTAACGGAGCGAAAAAAACTCCACATTGCTTTGAAATAATGATGTCTACCTTCGCAACTCAATCAAAAGTTGACGATTTAAGAATAAATATATGTGCATTTAATACAGAGTTGAGTTATGAGGGCAAACACTGCACATGTATAGGGCAGATATTCTTTCTTCCCCCTACTGCCTTCACCCACAGTAGATTTGCCCTAAGTACAAGACAGAAATAAAGCATCTGTGTTAGGACCCTGAGACAGAACAGCCTGTGTGTCAGACTCCCTGAAACCAGACTCTACAAATGTAGTAACAAGAGAATAATTGAACAACTCCCGACTGCAGACAATGAGACTCTGTTATTTTTCAATAAACCACATCAGTCAGTCTGGACACGGGTGACATGAATTGTGGCACTCGCCATCATTGCTAGAGTACAGGGGCTATTGCTCCCCACCCCCCACTCCCCAATTGCTAAATAAATTCACAGCTGTGTTCAACACCTGCCCCCACCCCCAATTAGATAGGACTTGCAGTGTCTGAACCAGACAGGCTATAAAGTCCTGCTCAAAGTACAAGCATTCGTTAAATAAAACCTACCTTTGTATCTCGCGCTTGGAGTTACAACATCCTTTAGTGGTTAAATCACAAGTGACTTAAAAATTAATATTGGCCTTAATTACCGTACACATTGCTGTGAAATAGAGAGAACTTGCGCACTGCACACAGCCCTCTACACACACACACACACACACACACAAAAAGGACGGCCTAGGGGTCCCTAGACACAGTCTGTGCCTAAAGGTCGCTGAAAACCAGACCCCATAAACGTAGTAACAGCAAAATAATTGAACTGCTGTCTTGGTACAATGAAAGTCTGTTTTTATCAAGAAGCAACAGTCAGCCTCAGCATTTTCTGTTAAAGTTTAGTTAAGTCTGCACTTAGGCGGCAGCAGCAGAACAGCACGCGAACTGCATTCCTCTATCCCGCCGACTTGGTAATATCTACTCTAAGGAGACTTCAAGAGGACTGTTTAAAGAAACACTTCTTGAGGGCAGTCCAGTGCTAAATGTGCCCTTCACAGCCACGAACGCGTCCCCTCTTCTCCAGCTGCCTCGCAATGCCCCTTTCTGGGTTTAATTTCTCAATCCCCATTTAGCATCTTATACAAGGTTTATAAACGTATAAAGTCCCCCTTGGAGAGGTCTCTTTACAAGGCTGAAGGGACCTCATTCATCTAGTTGTTCACCACAGCTCAACCTTCCAACGCTGGGGGGAGTATCCTCAGTGCTCTCCTTCTGCAGTGCCCCTAACGCTCTTATGTGACAGTGACCACAGAACTGCGTACAGTACTCCAGATGCAACCAGAACAGACCACTGTACAGCCAGTCTGGAACGCTCAACTCTGGATTCGACAATGTAAGTCAGCATCTTATGCGGACCTGAAGAACAAAGAGTCAACTGACCAGATCAACAAGTTCCATCCCTGCTTACGGTCGACATGTGCCACCTATTTTTACATCTCTTTACATCAGTTGCCAGTAAAGTAGCAGTAGTAAAGTTGCCTGGAGTATTGCAGTTCCTACTGTATCAAGCTTAGTTAATAAGTTTTTGGTTGTCTCTGCTGATTGAACCACCTCCCCGAGCGAGGTGCCATTTGCAAATCAGACTTCCAGTGAACCCCGATCAAACTTAGCCATGTATCATTTCTCAACGGGCCCTTAAAGCTTAAATGAATTTCTACCCATCCAGTCTGGCTGTACTTGACCAATGGTTCCAGAGGTGAAGGCCAGTGTCTTACCCACGTGCTACAGAGGCAGCATCATTCAATGATCAAGCAATAGAAAGGGGGGTTACTACAAGAGTTCGGTTGTAAAATAACTAGTAATCCTTGCATTTGTTATAGCGCCTTATCACGTCGAAAGGCACTTCAGGAATTACTGTGAAATGGAGCGACTGGGAAAAAAAATGCCAAATCTTTTCTTAATGGCGTTGCAGAGCAAAGCACAGTTGAAATAAGGAAACGTCTTCCTCTAATAAACTACGAAGGAGAGGTTTGGGTGGTCCTGAATCTTGAGACACGCCTGAAACTCCATGCAGCTGCAGCAATGGCACAGAAGCCAATGTCCACATTGTCGCAAGAAGGCCAAAAGACAGGGATCAGTCAGGCTCTCATCGGTACGGTGCGAGCAAACTGTTTTCAAATGAGGAGAGAAACATAAATCTCCAAGAGCAAGGAAGATTTTGATCAGCGCACCTTCATACACCAAACGAGTTGGCTGAGGCTTGCAGGAAGATCACTCGCCCAACATTAATGCATGATCCGCGAGCCGAAATGTGGAGGAGCCACGTACACAGTAAGGTAACAAAACGATTGAAGAGGGGAGGGGGGGTGGAAATGCGTGCAGCTAAAACCCATCCTCAGTCACAGCTACACAAGAACACTTTAACACTGACCACTGGAGAGTGGGTAAGGAATAGGAAACCACAGAATCTTACAGCACAGAAGGAGGCCATTCAGCCCATCGTGCCTGTGCCAGGCTCTTTGAAAGTGCTACCCAATTGGTGTCACTCACCCGCTCTTACCCCATAGCCCTGCACATTTTTCCTTTGAGTATATAACCAATTTCCTCAACAGAAAAAACTAAAAGTTTCTGATCTACGAATTCCACCCCTAGAGCGAATGTGAAGCGCTATATTTCGAATTACCACTCTTTTTTTTAATATATAAAAAAAAACACTTCCCCATCTGGTGAGCTTTCCATCACCCCCCAAAAAAACAAACCACAATTCTTCCGTAAAGAGTCTCATCAGACGGGTCTTCCTTTAAAATAAAATCTCACGAACCTAACATCTGACTCAGCGGGAGGTTTTCAACAAGTGAGAAAGTTTGGCTGCGGCAGTCAGGCAAGCCGCGGTGAAACTAGAGTGCGTGTAGGCTCAGCCTGCGGTCATCTCCGTGGTCGACAGACAGCTGAAAGCTGATGGGGGCAAGCACGGCACTTTCTCTCTCTCTCTCCCCCCCTTTCTGATTGATGTTTCTTTGATTAAAATGCAAATCCTGTTGCCCCAGGCTACAGACGTCTGGCTGCCTGTCTTTGTGTCCGCTCGTTCCCACTGCATGCTGTCTGAAACTGCACCAGCACAAAGATCCAGAGAGTATGTTTGGGGTTTAAGGGGAGGAGGTGCAGAGAGAGGGTGAGAGAGAGAGAACGCAAGTAATAGATGGATAGATTTCAGAAGAGAAGCTAATAATTGAAGATTGACAATTTAAAAACCCAATTTGATTGACCAGTAAAAGATCTTCACTTCAACTTGCAAATACTTCAATGCCATTCTGCTCCATAAACCTGGATGAAGGAATTGCACTGATTTTATTATAAATAATAATAATTGTTGCATTTGATACGGTGCCTTACCTCGTCATTGAACATCTTAAAACGTTTCACTGAATATACTGTGAAGTGCCGTGACTGTGTGTTTGATATCAGTGCAATTCATTAGTTCCTAAACCCTCATAGATCAAAATCCACCCACAAAAATGCAATCAATTCACTTTACAGTAAATTCTGTGAAGCACTTTAAAACCTCGACGACTTGACAGGGCGCTGTGTCAAATGCAAGGATTATTATTATTGTAATAACTTGTGTTTTAGATTAAAGTTGAGCTGCAAACGGGTGGGAATAGGCTGCATACAAACATGTTTCTTTTTTAAAAAAGTGATTTCCCCCCCCCACCCCTACATTAATCTGGTAAACTTACCTCAGACACGTGTTCGTGTGTAGTGTTTTTGAGAGCGCCAGGTGACGTCCCTGAAATGGGGGTTTACAAAGTTGAAAGAGGTTGTATCAAGTTCGCGCGAGTGTCGGATTTTAAATGCAGAACACAAACAGAACAGAGAAGCTTTTGCAACTTTTACAGGTTAAATCAAGATACCCCCGCCCACCCCCCCCCCAAGACACACAAATTGTGGGTCGGGCCTGTGTGGTGGCGGACCCATCCCTTTAGCCCCACCAATTCCCGGCAAAGGGATAAAATCAAATCCTCAGTTCTTCTGTGTGTTGCCTACGGGAACAGCTAAGATCACTCCTCCACTCGCCAGGATTCAAACAGCACCGAGACTGAACTTTCGATTCACAGGAACTTCAACCAGTTTGAAAACTGCTCTCTATTCAGCAGATCTCCCAAACCACAATACTGTGTCTAAACAAGCATTAATCATAGGTGACGAAATCTATTATCCACTATTAAGTCTCTCAACACGCGCGCGCACACACACACACACGAGGATGATTAATCACTGAGCAGTATAAATAACAACAACTTGCATTGATATAGCGCCCCTCATGCAGGTTAGCGTCCTAGAGCACTTCACAGTGGAGCATGACACCGAGCTGGGGGGAGGGGGAACCGAGGGCACAGTCGAAGAAGTAGGTCTTCAGATGCGACCTCAAGATTGGGAAGGAGGGGGCAAGGCAGAGAGACAGGATTTCGGGATGTAGTGGCTGAAAGTGTGGCCACCGATGGTGGAACGGAGGGCACGAGGGACAAGCAGGAGGCCGGAGCCAGTCGAGCTGCAAGGTTCTGAAAGCAAATTGCGCTAGAACCTGGCTGCAGAGTCTATCCTAAATATCAATGCACAACACTCCTATATAAATGTACCACACACCCAATTCTGGCTTTACTGAGAAAAGACGAACCTTCCTCTGCTCCTCGCTAAATACGTCAATCACTTTACTGAATGCACGGCTGCTAGAAGCAGGATTGCTCGAAGCAGTAGTGCATGAGTTGCAAATTGTAGACCTATCAACCCCTTATGGGTAACGAGGGAACAGGAGACTTGCAACTGCTGTTTAAGTCACTTCCTCTTGAACGTGACAAGAAACAATACCAAGGTAGTGCGGATTGACCAGGTAATAGCACCTTAAGGCAGGTCTCTCCATGGCTCAGTAAATTTATATAGTAATGCAGACAGAAGGATTTTCCAAACAATCGTTGGTTTGTACAGTTAGGTTATCCCAACAGGGAAGACCGCGAGTTTGGCTGAATTGCCTTTAACATTCTCGAACTTTGGCAGGGAAGGGGAGAAGAGTGGAAAGAGGGAGACAAGTGATGAAAGGAAAAGGAAGCAGGGGGGAGAAGGGACGGAGGGATCAAGTGCAGAGGGCAACCAAGTCTCTCTCCAGTGAATCCCAATCCGAAAGCCCCAGGTAGACAGGTACGATGATGTTCCTCACAAAACTGTTCCCCATCATCACATTCAGGAGGTGAGGAGAGTGTCACAGGAAGAGTTTCAGAGAAATCATCTCAGACAAGACAATCAATGAAAAAAGTTTCACTAGCTCAGCCTCCGAACTCAGCTCCTGAACTTGAAGACAGCCCCTTACCTGCACAGCCACCCAGCTCGCATTAATGGTATGTTCTCCAAAGGGGCCGAACCCTGAAAAGATGAAAACATTTAAAAAAAGTTAAAGGAGAAAATAATAATAACAATCATTTGCATTTGCTACGAGGCCTTATTACGTCGTCAGGAAGTCTCAAAGCTCTTAATTAATAAATATTACACGAGAAGGAAACGAGAAACTAGGAATCTAGAAGGAGTAAAGGGCAACTTCTCGAACTGGCAAGATATAGGAAATTCTGCAGGGATCCATACCAAGATCGCTCCTGTACCTCAAGCCACTGAAGGGAGACCAGGCAGGAGATTACTTTTAGCGCTGACAGGCATTACAAGCCGGTCAATTATCACTGGGCAGCAAGCAAACGCTCCCACACTCGAGTAAGGTGACTGAACCATATCTGGCAAATGCTGACCTCAATAATTGGAAACATTATGGTGTCAATCATCAGAAAGGGAGGGGCAGATTACTTGTAGAAAAATATTGCATTAACGACCGGAACGGGCTTCTGCTGGGACTCACTTTTAAAAGAAAACCCAGAAAGATTGCAAAACGATACGGGATGTGTAAATGGGAATGCAGCACGGGCAGAGAGGTGGCAGATGAAATTTTACCTCGGGAAACGTGAAGGGTTTCACATTGTTAGGAAGAATAAAGAAGTGGAATGTACCCTGGATGGTAGGAACCTGAGAGAGGGAAATACCACCTCTCACATCACCTCAGTCTTGATATGCAGGACTCAAAGTAGCAGCAAAGGTGGACAAAGCCACAGAGAATGCAAAGAGTCTGTGACTTTATGTCCCGTATTCCAAACCCCTGCTCTTTTCCCCATACCCTTGCATTTTGTTTCTCTGAGGACTTATCAAATTCCTTTCTAAAGCTCATCGGCTCAGACTCATAAGTCTCTTATCCACATCACCATGAACAAGATTCCACTCAGTGATAGGGGAAAAGGGCTCTTGAGAATGAACGAGCACTGAAGCCATGTCCCAAACTGCTTCTTTGTACAGTATGTCTACATCTAAAAGGATCCACGCTCAACTTTTTGCTTAAAGGGGGAAGAAAGTCTGGGGAACTGTACTTTCCCATCGCAAAAGCAGAAAGTTACACCCTCACTTGTTTAGCCTTTAATGAAAAATCCTTTGAGTTCTGAAGATTGCTGAGACTTCTCATTAATGATTCGGGGAGGGGTGGGTTCTATGTGCATCTGGAGTGACCCATTTCTTTTTCTTGAGTTTGGATGGGGCGAACACCTGGATCACTTGGGCTGGTCTAAAGCCACCTCTCAAAGTGCTTCACAAGATGTACAGTAAAGTGAATTGACACGGCAGCCAGTCGCGCACAGCAGTGTCCCACGAAGAGTCGTGGATTGAGTGACCAAATTATTATTTTATTCATTTATTCTGAAGGGATTATTATCGCTAATCGACAAACCTCTGGGTTCCTACTTACGCCGAGATCTCAACCAACATTGAGAGTATCACATGGAGAAAGCACTTCCACACTCCTCTAAAGTTCACCATCAGCGAGGAAGGTCTGTTGACCATACACATAGTTTTGATCCTCAGAAGTGCATCTCCAGTTTTAGTAAATGAACTTCCCTTTTAACGGTACTGTTGTGGAAATAATCCTCAGCAATATGAATAAAAAAAAATAATGATCTGCCCCGCGTCCGTTAAACAGTTTATTATGATATTCAACCCTACGTTTCATCCTGTTCCTCCCCTTTCGATGTTTTTGAACAAAATATCTAGTTATTCATTTATAAAATAGAATTTACCATACAGTTTACACTTAGCCCTCCTTTCAAATGCTGTAGCTGTGGCTCAGCAAAGACTGCTCAGGCTCACAGTCAATTAGTGTTGGGAATCACAAGACACCAGCACTTCGTGGGTCTGCATCTTGCAGACACTGGACAAATCCCAGTCTTGCTTTGTCTGACTCGCCTAATTTGACTGTCTGCCCCTGTCCCCCTCTGCACCCCCTCCCTCCCTCCCCTCCCTCCTTGTCCCCTTTGTCTAGTTGCAGCTGTACATTAACAGAGAGCGCAGAGGAGACTTTGTGACAATGGTCCCCACACCAACGCCACACAGAAATAAACCGATGACATTCTGCTTTCTCAGCTCTAACTCAAGAGCCAAAAGTTGTTTTTTTTAAAAAAAAACGTTTGACACGACAGCAGCTAAGTTACTTTCACATCAGCCTTGCTCTCTTGTCCCCCCCCCCCCCACACCCCCACCCCCTTTCCCCATCTTGACTTCCAAGTCTAACGCAGTCTTAGAAAAGTTACTTAAAAACCTATTCGCTCAATTTAACGCAACAGATGCACTTTTTTTCGGGGGCATTTACCATTTGCACACACGTCCGAACCTGTGCAAAACCCAATTAAACGTATTATACTGACGACATCTTTTTTTCGACATAGTCACACCATTCCCCTTCCAGATCGTGTTGACTGCTGCATAATTGGCACAAGCAGGTGGCTTTATGTGTACATACATTTCCCGTGAAACACACACTCACACACACTCACACTCAGGCTCGGAGAGACGGTTACGTCTAAAAGTTGTATTAAAACTCCCCCCCCACCCACAGCACATTTTGCCCCCGGGGGTTAGTTACGTCAAAACATTTTGAAACAATAAATCACCAGGAGAATTGACAAGTGTGGAAGGCACTCACGACCCAGTCAGTCACACAGTACAAATACACAAAGGAAAGTTGGTGATACTTCCCAAACTTGCCCCCACCCCCCCACACACCCCCTTCCCAACTCCAACCTGGTCTCTTCTCCCCCCCACCCCCCGTTTAAAATCCTCACGACCCAACTGCCCGAAACTTCCCCCCTCCCTCCCCACCCCCCTCCCTCCCCACCCCCACCAGTCGAAAGACAGATCGACAGCGAACTCGCTCTAAGGTTTGGGACTCGTCTCTTCTCTGCGTAGTGTCGGAGCCGCTACAATGTGTCCCGACTGTTGGGATACATTTAGCGGCAACAATGTATCGCGTCCCCTCTCTTCCTCCTCCCGCCGCAACAGTGTAACCAATGCCGTCCATTCATGTTTTTTTTTATATACCTGTGACCACTACGGTCCTGTTACTGTTCCTCTCCATAACTCTTCTGTCTGTCTGTCTGTCTGTCTTCCTCTTCCTCTCCCCCTCTCTCTCACTCTCTCTCCCCCTGTGTGACCGTGTGTTGTTGCTTTAGCTGGAGGGGTGGATTGGGGAAGGGGAGGCTTTACTTCCTGCTGCACTTTACTCCCCCTCCAGACACGTGAGCACCAGCTCCTCCTCCTCCTCCTCCTTCCTTCTCTCTCTCCCTCCCTCCCCTTCTCTTCCTCCCACCTGACCCGAGCATCAGCCCGTCACATGCTGCCCTTTTCCCACGCTTCTGGCTTCCACGTGCTCTCTGATTAAAAATAAATCCAGCACATTGAGACGTCTCAACAACGTGATAATACAAGAATTATTATTATTATTATTGTTAATTCCAGTACATGGCCAGTTTCACCCACAAAGTATACAGTCAATCCACTTTACAGCTGTGAAGCACTTTGAGACGTCTCAACGACGCAATAAGGCTCTACATCTGTAGATAATAATAATCCTTGCATTTTTGCGTCTTATATCACGCCTTCTAGACGTCCCAAAGCGAGACTCGGCAGCCAATTGCGCGCAGCAGCGTCCCGCAAACAGTCGTGGACTGAAGTGACCAATTTATTATTGTTTTGGGTTTTCTCGAGGGAATTATTATCAGGGGCTGTGGAAATGAGGAAACGTGCCCGAGGTTTCGACCTGCCAGGTCCTCCCGCTCGCGAGGGCGAGTGCTCTCACCACTGAGCGAGCGACAGGATTCCGCGGGAAACACTGTAAAGTGACCGTGTGTTTTGTGATTCGGCTCTGCAAATGCAAATCGTTTGCATATTCAATGCAAGGATTATTATTATTACTATTAATAATAATAATTCATATTATTATTGCATCTCCTGTACAAAGATGACGTCTGGATAACTTCAGCGCGTCATGTGACGTTTCGCATCACGTGGGCTGGGTACCAAACGCAGCCCCTGTGACTGACACCGACGTTGACCAATCACGAGAGGCGAAAAGCGTCACCCGGGCGAGCCAGCCAATGGCAGCGGTTCGAGGGCCGGACTACCAGGTGACGTTGACGGTCAGAGGGGCAGGGCAGGAAGGGGGGGGTGGAGCCGGTATGAGGCGTGTGATGATTGACGTGGCCGCCGACCAATGGCGGGTGGCGATCGCCGTCACCCTGACGACGCTGGGTGGCGCCTCGGACCAATCACACGGGTGGGAGGCGGGACCATCAGGTTAGGTTGACCGGCAGGGTGAGGGGCGGGGCGCGTTGCTGAGGGAGGCAGATGATTGGCGGGTGGTCGGCTCTCCCCCCCCCCCGCCCACTCTTCCCCGATCAGGTTAGGTTGTCAGGCAGGCAGGCGGGCGGGAGGGCGGAAGATGGCGGAGTGGTTGGCCCGGTGCGGTCCGCTCGAGCCGTTTCTATGGCGATGAGGCGAGGGTCGGCGTGAGGCAGGAGAGCAGGAGAAGGAGGAGGGGAAGAAAATAGTAATAATAGTTAATAGGGACCCTACTAATAATAATGACTCAGGGGAAGAAGAAGAAGCGGTTGAACCGCAGTGTGCTGTTGGCCAAGAAGATCATCATTAAAGACGGAGGGTCGGTGAGTTAGTGAGAGGCCGACAAGAGAAGCCGACGGCGGGGGCGGCGGTGGTGGCAGTGGTGGTGGGGACGGTGGCGGCGGCGGTGGTGGCGGTGGTGGTGGTGGCGGCGGCGGTGGTGGTGGCGGCGGTGGTGGTGACGGTGGCGGCGACGGCGGTGGTGGGGCGGTGGTGGGGCGGTGGTGGCGGCGGTGGTGGTGGCGGTGGTGGTGGGGCGGTGGTGGTGGCGGCGGTGGTGGTGACGGTGGCGGGGGCGGCGGTGGTGGGGGCGGTGGTGGCGGTGGGGGCGGTGGTGGGGGCGGTGGTGGTGGGGGCGGTGGTGGGCGGCGGTGGTGGTGGCGGGTGGTGGTGGTGACGGTGGGGGGGCGGTGGTGGGGGGTGGGGGCGGTGGTGGGGGGCGGTGGTGGCGGCGGTGGTGGGGGCGGTGGTGGGGGCGGTGATGAACGGTGGTGACGGTGGCGGCGGAGTCCGCGTCCGATGAGGCGCCTCCGCCACGCGACATAGGATGTGGAATCATGATCGTTCCTCGCCTGCCGGGCCGCCGGCGCCGGTGGGGGGGGTGGCCTTTATCGCCCGCTCGAGACGCCTCCGCGCGCCCCGGGGGGGCAGGACCCGTCTCCCCTCGCGCCTGCTTCGCCGCGACGGCGTGGGGTCCGGTGACCGGATCGTCGCTCGAGCGGTCCGGTCCGGTCCTGTCCCGCCAATCGCTGTTTAGGTCGGGAGCGCCCCCCCGCCCCCACCACCGCCACCCCCACCCCCCCCCACCGAAGCGCTTAGGCCGGGGTTTACCGGTCTTAAGTGCGGTGACTTGCGCAGATCGAAGTGTCCGGGTGAAAGCGGCGGCTGCTGTTGTAATTGTTACCCGTCAGTGTTCCCACGAACAGCCCTGGAACGAAGCGGTTGACCACACGTGGGATTAATTGGCGGCCAGGCCACCGGGAGAAACTCCTCTTTCCTTTTCCCAATTCTAACGAGGTGGGAGGGGGGTGGGGGGGTTGACGTCCTCCTGAATGGGGCGCCACAGATGGGGCCTCGGTTTTGATGTCTCGTCTGAACTACGGGATCCTCCCAAAACAGTACAGCGCATCCCCAGCACTGCACTGGAGTGACAGCCTAGACTGTGAGTTCAAAGCCCCAGTGCGTGGACGTGAACTCATGATATGACACAGAGGGAAGCCGAGTCAGGCTCAGACCAAAAGAGGAGGTTGGGGGGGGGGGATGCCAAAACTCATCTGAGGAAGAGCTTTGTATGTGGAGGTGTTCAGGGGCATAGGGGCACAAGGAGGTCCAAAATGGAGGGAAGAGCAGAAGGAGGCTTGGGAAGGGGGTAGGAAGTGACCAAAAATGAGTGTGTGGGGTAGAAAGTCTGAACGTGACTGGAGGCGATAGCAGGTGAAGACAGCCGTGGGCGACGGTAAAGTGGATAGAGTGGTGGAGAGGATGGTAGCGGTTGTAGGAATCAGCGTTTGTGCAGTTGACATGTAAGGGGGAAAAAAGGAGTGAAGGCCAGCAGAGAAATGATTGAGGAATTGTGTATTGCCATTTGGAGAATGAGTCAATGTGGATCTGACGCAGAGGGAAACCATAATTAGTGGCATTGGGCAAGTCAGAGCGATTTAAAGGTAGGGGCGAAAGGCAACAACTTTTTGGGAGTTTGGATAAATATTTGAAAGGCGATGATATAATGGAGAAATAGCAGGGAATTATTTTTTGCCCACATAGCTCCAGCAGGGGAGCTAGTACCAACTTAAGCTTGTGCTTAAGTTGGAGTTCAGGCCAAAGACAACAGATAGTAGTCACAGGACGTCTGAGAGAAAGTCAGTAATGTTTGGATTATTTTTATGTTGACCATTGTAATATTGCCAAACCAGTAGTCAAGATAACATAAATATGGATAGTTTCCATGATTTAACACTTAATATGCTACGTAGGCTCAAAACCAGTTGCAACTTGGAACATTTTTTCTAGCTTGTCTAACCTACTCCGCTCTGCCGAACTGCAACCCTGTTATAAGGCTATGGATCTTGGCTCAGTAACTAACTGTGTTATATGACTTGCAAATTGCTTGACTCCTAGCTACCATGTAGGAATGAGGGTGAAATGGATGTGGCACAAGAATTTCTTTGTACACAAGAGTATTCTTTTCAATTTCAGAGAGTTTGTTGCCCTTGGTGGGTAGTAGAAATATATTTCTGGACATTTGATCCTTTCTTCAGTTGAGATTCAATGGCGACTGTGCATTGGTGCCTGACTCGAGAACTTGAAAAACTTGACCGGTGAGAAGAAGCAATTTGAAAAGCAAATCATTCTCTAAAACCCAGTAATTAATGGCTGAAAAGTACCATTTTGTGTTTGCATAATAACAGTAAATTGTGGAAGCTGAAAGGAGAACATTTCGGTACATTTGCAACCTAAATATAAAGTTCCTCTATAAATATAAAAGGTTCCTCTTTACATATATCTTTTATTAAGCTGTCAGCCAGGAGGGGGAGGAGAAAGAGAGGAAAAATAAAAACATTAGTGCATCCAGTTTCTTTTAAATCCTCCCCCATCCCCTCCCCGTGCAGAACTAACTTTAAAAGTTAATAATAACCAGTAAGTGTCTCTTGAATTTACAAAACCTCTGGGCTGATATTGTTCAAGAAGCATCATAGTTGGTATAATTGGTCTGGAATTGATTTAGAAGATATTGAATTTTCATTCCTAGAAGAATAACTCGTATTAAAATAACAACAGGATTACATTTGTATAGCGCCTTTCACGTCGGGAGGACGACCCAAGGCGTAATGCTCCCTTCTCTTGTGGTTGTGGTCAAACACAGTAAGTGAACAACCACATTACATCTGCTGCTCCACCATCACCACAGCAGTATTTCTCCTTACGGATCAGATGCTTCAGCCGTAGAGTGGCCATTTGAAAAGGCCTCTGATGAATTTCAGCATTTTGTCTTGCCTATTAGTGGAGTGCTTTGAATTTGATGGTTGAAACTGCACTGACGACATCACCGGGGGAATCTGGAGTGTGGGAGAATTCAATTATCAGCTGAGATGCTCACTCACACATGTCTCTCAGGCCAGTAATGATAATAATAATAATAATCTTAACATTTGATACAGAGCCTTATTATGTCTTCCAATGAATATACTGTAAAGTGAATTGATTGTATATTTTGTGGGCGAAACGCGGCAGCCAATTGCGCACTGCAACTCACATACCCAAGTTGAGTAATGTCCTCCAAAGATGTCATTAGGGCTCATTGCTTGAACAAAACTATTCCTGACAAAGTAAATTGATGGAATAGACCGGAAAAGCCTAATAGTAATGCCTGCCTTTGTTAGGGCGCCTTATTATATTGTTGAAATGTCTCAACGAATGTTGGCAGCTGATGTATCCTGTAATATAAATTGGTGTGGTGTCACACTCCTTAATATACAAATGGTCCGGAAACTGGTTCCTCCAGTCAGTTTGACCAACTTATACGGATTTCTCAGTAACATCGTTTATCCTCTTTTGACTACAGGAAATAGCCGGGAGCAGAGTTTATTTGCAAAGTGTGTGCAGGGCTTAATTTGTGGTCATGCTGGTAACTCTCAGCAGAGAGCGCAACAGGTTCTTTGGCTTGGATTCAGTGTTAAGAATTTTAGTCGTTTTTAAATGGACTGTGCTTGAATTTGCAGCAGGTAGTGAGTTTTTAATGTCTGACTGTACAGAAGTACCTTATTTTGTTGTGGTTGGATCACAACCATACTTTGCTTTCTGCTGTTGGCCAAAGCGAGCAGTGTTAATTGAAATGACAGTTTCATAGATAAATAGTGTTCAGTGAAGAGAATAACTTAGTACTCTTCACTAAATGCTTGTGGTCTCCTCTGAAAGTAGCTGACCGTCCACTTTAATAAAAATTATTGATCACCCATCTTCATTGTCTTCTGTGATTTGTCCCTTATAAATTCTTTGAGCTTAAATTTCAGCATTCTTACATCAATAGTTGTAATTTAGTTAGACGGTAGCATTTCTGTATACAGTAACGTGTGCAGTTTTGTTTTGCTCAGTATATTTGTACTCAGAATGTTGTACCGCAGTAAGTTGTGGGTCGCAGTGTTTAATGAGGTGAGAATGAAGCTCGAGTAGTTTATGTTGTGCTTTGAGTAGGTTGCAGTCTCAAGCGTGTTCTCTACATTTACGTTCAGAACTTAACTTGTTTTAGGATTTTTAGTTTCTGTTTAAGTTTCTGCTGAGCTCTTCTATGTGTTTCCCTGCCAACCTGACATCAAAACGTACTGCCTTGTAACTCAGCCTTTCTGCCCCCACCCTCTGGAACTCCATCCCACAGTCCCTCCACCTCGCCTCCTTCAAGACCTGTCTCAAGACCCTCCTCTTCGACCGTGCCTTCGGTTGTCCTCCTACCTCTACCCCCCCCCACCTTTCCTGATCCCAACCACCAGCTTGGGTGCGGATCCCTGACTCTCCAGCGCCTTGGGACATCCTCCTGACGTGAAAGGCCTATACAAATGTAATTTGTTGTTGTTTTAGTATTAAAATTAAGAACCAAGTTCAAGGAACAAAACCCCTGTTGCACTGTGCCATTGGATAGATAACAAGCATGCAACATGTGAGTATACTATATACTACAGAACAGTGCAAGTGTAGAGTGGGAGGCCACGGGCAAGGAGTGAAGGCTTCACAGAGAAATGTAGTCTATGAACAATACTTCTGTATATACTGTATTAAATAAAGAATGGTTAGTTGGGGCTAATTGTAAGTGGGATTCTAATTGACTGATGCGCCTTAGGTTTTAATGCCTTGACGGCAAAGTTTGATCAGTTGATGACTTGTCTTCCAAGGTCCGAATACTGTTCAGGAATTTCCAAGCCATATCTGCTCTTTTTAATATGCAGTAAAATTCACATTCGTCTTACCTTAATAAATCGTACAATCACCCGCCCCTAAGTCGTACATTCACCCGAGTCCCATTCAGGCTAACTTATCAAAACCACTTTAATTCCTTTGCACTGTGGGGATGAATTACTGTTGGAAAACAGAGTCCACCCCATTCCCTGACTTTTCCCCTCCTGTATTAATTTAAAGTTCATACTCTATTCCTTGCAAGTTATTTGTGATTTTTTTTTTGCTTATCTAGGATGTCTGTGTTCGGAAATAGAATGCTTTCCGACTTGAAACACAGTGCCATTTTCATATCAGTTCCCTATCCTACGCCCCCCCCCCCCCCCCCCGCCCCCGCCACAGTCTTTTTCAAAACATAGGTAAACATTAAATCACCAAAGCAGAATCTTCTGCAATAATGTTCACCTTAACTTGCTGATTATTCTTGTTTAAATAACAAAGAAAGCAAACAGAAAAAAGTTTACAAAGTTCATCCTGTTTTGGTTTTTAATAGGAGCCCCGATTGCAATGTTTGCTATTTGAACAAAAACAAGTTTATTGTACACATCATTGATGGTTTCCTGTATAAATAAATCAATGGAATTTTTTGACTTTGAAACATCTATCCACTTAAACATGGTAAACAGGGACTTGTATCCTTTTGCGCTTGTGCAAGATTTCCATCTTTCAACTGTACTTTCGTAAGAACCATTTTCTATTAGTCGTTTGACTTTTTTTTAATCAGCTTTTTCACATTTTGAAACAAAGTTTGTGTTGAACATTTCCACCATGCAGGCAAATCTGTAAATCCATGGAATATATGTCTTTAAATTGGAATGGTGAGATTTGGCGCATTTCATTCCCGGAAGAGATTATTGAGGGTTATAAGGGTATCAATTAAAGCAATTTATGTCGATTAATTTTAATCCCACTTCTACCTAATTCAGATACGAGTTTGTGCATTGAATGGAAAATGTCCCATTTCCATAGCAGTACATGTCTCACTGATCATTTCCATCCCATCCATTAAGAAAAAGTAATCAAAATCTTGTTACAGTGGATACAAATTATGTAGTCCTACAAAGTATGTCCTTTTACTTGCCTAAACGTTTTCGGTTTCCAATTCCCACAGTAATGTAATTTCCATTTCAACTAAAAAGCTGTGTTTTCGTTAAGCACTGAAGGTTTGTGTGCCGTTTGTGATCTTTCGCTAACTCCAGCAGAGAGATGCTGGTTAATAAAACCACTTTGACAGAACGTAGATTGTCATCCTGTGATCAAATCAGCTGCTATCAGTATGACTCAGAATTATACATAGATTTGATTTGGTTGTGTGGAGCCTGTTTTATGGAAGAATATTCAAATTTAATTTTCATTTTACACACTTATTAAAGCCAGTTAGGAGTTGTGTAACAAAAGTGGGATTCAGATAAACAAGAGATACATACAGCGTGATCTCTTGTGAATTAACCGTCCATTGCAATAATGAGGGCACGCAACATCATTGGAGGTGCCATCTTTTGGATCTAAGGATTTGTCTGATCCAACTAGGATTGTAAAGACTGGCTACCAGATTCCTTGTGTTTCCTGTAACTCATTACAAATGCAATACAAGACGTTTCCAAGCTCTTAATAGGTAATTGCTGTCATGGTTAGTATTAATTTGTCAGCAAACATGGCAGCCAATTTACACATTGGAAGGTCCCATAAAATAGTCATTATCTCATGATGTTTATCTGGAGGCTAGTTGCTTTGGACACAGGAAGAAACTTCCTTCTCTGTTCAAATACTTTATTTTTTGTGTCCCATTTAACTTCGGCACATTCACGCTCACAAGCTATTGTGGCAAAATTAAATGGGCCTTAAATGGGCAACAAAAAAGAGTAAGTAAACAAAGCATTACCTTGATTACATTAATGCATGCGTTTAGTTGCGCACAAATATAGGGCAGCAAACCGAGAGTCTGGACCATTACGTGAAGAAAAATATCAAAAATACCAAATCTATATCAATATTGATCTGAACAGTCAGCTGGAACTTGATTTCATGTCTCATATGAAAGATGGCACTTTAGATATTGCAAAACTCTCCCAGTATTCATTGTAGTGTCATCCAGAACTAGGACTTCAAGTCTCTCATGGGGCTTGAACCCACAGCCATCAGACCCAGAGACAAGAGTGCTGCCAAGGTGATGTGTAACTAAAATGCCTTGACCAAGTTAGTGGAGATTGCTTTCTGATGAACATTTATTTGGCCTCTTTACAGCCACAAGGAATTGGGGAGCCTAGTGTTTATCATGCGGTGATCGTTATCTTTTTGGAGTTCTTTGCATGGGGACTGCTGACAACTCCGATGCTAACTGTGAGTACAATGTATGTTACTGATTTTAAAAGTGTAATGACTCTATTGACCCCGACCAATGTACATAACGTGGAGTAATAGAGAAAGGAATAGTTTAATAGTTAATTTGCTGTAATATTTTCAATATTGTTCTATAATGCCCTTTAAATTTACTCCTTGTAAACCGCCCACCTGCCTCTGGATATTCACCAGCTCGGCGGTCAGTAGCAGTAAAACTGAGAAATCAAAGTGCGTTTGAAGACCTGCGTTGCAATTTCACTCGGATAACGTTTAGTTCTTCCATAGGTTTTGCATCAGACGTTCCCTCAACACACATTCCTAATGAATGGACTTATTCACGGGGTGAAGGTAAGAGTGCATTGACACCATCAGTAACACAAGTATCGCCGGTCTTCCCAGTTCCATCATCTATAAGCTCTAGCTGAGCTAAAGGTCTGCCACTTGCATTCCTGACAGCACCAAAGTGCATGCTCACCACTCCAGTTCTCGCCATGCTCCACTAGCTCCCAGTGGGTTGATTCCAATGTCCTCATCCTCAGCTACAAATCCCTTGTGCCTATAACACTTCCCCATCAAATTCTACCTCAAATTACAGCACTTATTGAGATTGACTTATTGGGATGCCACCACATTTTTAAAATGCCCTCCGTTTTGACTGTTCTAACTGAGGTAGCCAAATTAGGAATAAAATGAAGGAGTAGACTTATTTCCCTTAATTCCCGGCTAGAGATTTGCTTCCAAATTGCCAAGTGATTGGAAAATATTAAAAACAGTGCCATCTCTTGGCTTGTTATCTCTTGAAGCAGGATGGTGACGCCTTCTTTGTCCTTATTTGATATTAAAGGAGTACAAGGGAGAGATATTTTGAAGAGTATGTGATTGTTTAACTGGCATTTAATCATTTGTTTTTTGTCCGCAGGGCTTGTTATCATTTCTAAGTGCTCCTCTGATTGGAGCGCTGTCTGATGTCTGGGGCAGGAAATCCTTTCTCCTCCTGACTGTGTTCTTCACCTGTGCTCCAATTCCCCTCATGAGAATCAGCCCCTGGTAAGTGTCCCCATTTCTCCCCTCTTAATGTGTGCACGGATCGCACCCGACTCTTTATCTGTTTGAATCCACCTCTTGTTTGCAGGACCATTGCTATCCCTGGATGAGCCTGGTTTTTCACCAACTTAATATTGACAAAAATGAGGCCAAGCTTCTCAGATCCCGCTGTGCCTCCTCACCTCAGATGCCGACCACATCACCCTTTTGTTGCTCCCTTTAGCTCACAGAACCAAGACAGACCCTCGGTGTTTTGTTTAACCCTTGACTCCCCTTCAAGCTATTTGTTCTCATTTCAGACCATGTCCACTTTCCCCCTCTCCACCACATCGCCTGCCCATGTCACTACCTCAACTCCAATACAACAGAAACCCTCATTCGTTGCCTTTTGCTATCTCCAGGTTTCATTTCTGCAAAACCCTGTTCGCAAGCTCCTTAGGTGGTAATGCATTAAAATGGTCATAATATCAGATAGAACTTCAGACCTGAAGTGGATCATAATCACATGGACATTTCATTTGTGTTACAAATTTAAAAAATAGTAACTGGCTATTATTTTGCATATTATGGGATTGTGGATTTCACTGACTTGTCTGCGTATTTTTTTCTTTCTCTACTATCCTCTTCAGGTGGTATTTTGCAGTAATTTCCATGTCGGGAGTATTTGCGGTGACATTTTCAGTGATCTTTGCCTACGTAGCCGATATAACTCAGGAGCATGAGAGGAGCACTGCCTACGGACTCGTAAGTGAAGAGCCATAGCCTGTTCTGAAGAGAAATGCTTATTTTACTCCAGTGTAAGATCTTATTCAGAGTCCATCCTGCTTATTTTGAGAGGGGATTTTCCTTAGAACGGTGTAAGAAGATCCTCCTTTCCCCACTGCTGTTTATTCAGGTGGCAGCTAGCTGTTGCAGAAGAGCAAGATTCATTTGGCTTGATTGATAGCACTCTCCTTTGGGTCAGAAGGTTGTTAATTGAGCTTAATTCGCACCACTGAGACTTGAGCTCATAATTTAGGTTGGCACTCCAGTGCAGTACTGGAGGAGCAATGTGTTGTCAGAGGAACCATTTTTCAGGTTGGGTATTAAACCGACGTCAATATTTCTGTGGCATCCTATTTGAACAAAGAGCTTTGTGTCCTGGCCAATATTTATTCCTATTCCAAATTCGTAAAGATTAATGGGCCTTCCCTACTTTGGGGCTTTATGATGTTGCTGCCAGCTGATTAACTGCTGTATATGTCTGCATAATAGTTACTATTCTTCAAAGTGACTTATTGCGTAGGGTAATTGAAGTCATTCATTTCCCCAAACTTGTAGTTTTGTTAAACCTAATGTGACAGGCACAAGGTTGGCTGTTGGTTCCCGAATTAGGGTCCATAATCTTTACTCTGCTTGCCTTTCTCCTAAGAGAACAAGCTCTGGTTGACACCTTGCTTCTGTTTGCTTTCTGTTAGAGGCATACAGAATATGCGCTATAATGAGTGAAGAACCTTTTCTTCTGCTGCTGCTGTTTCAGGTGTCTGCAACTTTTGCAGCAAGTCTCGTGACCAGCCCAGCTATCGGCGCGTACTTGTCCAGGGCTTATGGCGACAACTTAGTGGTGGTTCTAGCCACTGCCATCGCTTTGCTGGACATCTGTTTCATTCTTGTGGCCGTACCAGAATCTCTACCAGAGAAGATGCGGCCAGCCTCCTGGGGAGCACCAATATCATGGGAACAAGCTGACCCTTTTGCAGTAAGTAATAGCTAAACGCTTGGACTAGGTGCTGCTCATTGTTGATGTGAAGCATATTCCTCGGAGCAAATAGGACGCGCAACTGTTTTCAGTAGAACGCCAGTTATTCGTACATCCCCTAATCCCCATCGGGGCTCTGGTGCAAGGTGAAGTCAGTGGAAAATTCTTAGTTGCGAGTCTGCTCACAATGAAATCTGCTACCCAATTCTACTTGAGCAGCGAACGGTAGATCCATATAAGTGCATGGATAGAGAGAGTGGAAAACGCAAATGTATAAGAGACCTTATTCTACAGTGGAGAGTTTCCAATCAGGGCAGATATCGGGCTCTCCACTATAATTATGTAACCCTAACTTGTGGAATCAAATGCTGACCAGATAACTAGAGTAATTTGCAGCCAAGCCACACTTGTCACTTTCATGCTGTTGTGTTTTTGGGTTTAATTGCTTGTTCGTTCCATTTTTGTTTCAGTCTCTGAAGAAAGTGGGTCAGGACTCCACAGTTCTGCTGATCTGTATCACAGTATTCCTCTCGTACCTGCCTGAAGCAGGCCAGTATTCCAGCTTCTTTCTTTATCTCCGACAGGTAAAGTAACCCTGCAGAATTTAAATTTTCAGTTACGAGTTGGATGGTGATTCAGTACCAATTGGTACTTCTTGTATTTTTTAAAAAAATGTCTATTTATCATTTGTTCCGCGGATATCAGGCATTTTGTTATGCTGAGATCTAGCGCAGGAGTCTGGATTTATTTATTATTTAGAATATAAAAACCTTGTGGCAATTTAGTAAGACTTTTCCCAGCTCGACTAACAGTTGCTAGCAGAAGAGCTCGTTACGGATCTGCTAATTTTCTCTCTTGAATGGATGCCTGCCGTAACTGGGATATTATAGACCTGTTTAAAAAGATATGAACAAGAGGTTTGTTGAGAGTAGGTGTGGTTTGTGGTGGGAGTGAAGCTTTGCTGAGTGGCACAGGAGAGAGGCTTGGAGAAACCATCTCAACTTGTTTCCTATCTCCCGCCTTCGAAGCAACGTAGTGATCCAGAGCTCCCTGCACTGAGCGTGGAGCCATATCCCATCTCTTGGGGACACAGCTTGTTAGCATGCTGAGCTGCTGTGCTGTTAGCCGTCTGACCTGATTAAAAATGCCTTATACGAAGCCAGCCCTAGCCCATTATGCACTGCATTAAGGCATCTCCTTCGACATGTAGACCTATTTTTTACACGGACTAAATCATTGCAGTTTTGGCAAAAATATTTCTCTGCTTCTCCAGTATGGGCTGTTACGTAAACTCACAATCCATTTAAGAAGAATTATAGGCCAGCAAACTCAACATATTGTCAGACACTCGATCAATAAAAGTATAAATCCTGTGTAAGACTGCACATAAGTGTCCGTATATGGATCCATCCCACTAATCTCAATGCACCCGAGGGGAAATTACATTAACTAGTCACTGAAATGTAGGTGTCATAAGCAGGGGATAAAGCTAATTCATCAAACTGTGCCCGTATATAAAGGTCTATTTGCCAACTGGCAGTCCGATGTTGCTTTCTTGCCTTATACTTTGCAGGAGATAAGTTCCAGACTGAATTGGGATTTTACAGTCAGAAATCAGTATTGCCAATTTGGATGGAATCCAACTCCCAGATTGCACCATTTATTCTAATTTATACTGGGTTTAATTTGTTTTGATCAAGATGAATTGCCAGTTAATGGCTGTTCAGTAATATCCTTGGGATTAAATTTAAATGGGGCTTTTTTTAAAAAAAAAATGCATAAAACTTTAATAATACAAAACTTTAAGAGGAGCAAATTCCGGGGACAGTGGAGTCCTGTAGCTCAGTGGTTAGAGCACTCGCTTTGCAAGTGAGAGACCTGAGTTCAATTCCAGGCAGAGGGCGAAACCTCGGGCAAGTTTCCTTACTCCACACAGAGCCTAATAATAATCCTCCAAAACCAAAAATAATAATAAATTGGTCATTTTCAATCCACGACTGTTTGTGGGACATTGCTGTGCGCAATTGGCTGCCGCGTTCGCCCACAAATATACAGTCAATTCACTTTACAGTGTGTTCTGTGAAGCGCTTTGGGACGTCCTCCCGACGTGAAAAGCGCTATATCAAATGTAAGGATTATTATTATTATTATAGAGTACATTTTACTTTCATGTTTCTGGTTTCACTACAATTAGTGAATTGCTTCTCCAGTGCAACTCTCTAAGTGCTCTCTTGTGATGAGAGTGTGTGGCTTAGTATCAGTTACTACCCTGAGATAACAGTTATACTGTATCATGACTGATGCTAATTTACCTCCTTAACATTGTGACATTGCTCGCTCATCTGCAGTTGATCTTAAACAGACCTGCTTGAAACGGACAGAGAAAAATAAACAAAACTTAATTGTGCTTTGAAGATTATTAAAAAAGGATCTGATCATAAAGTGTAAATGTTTGATGCAATACTAATCCACATGAGAAGGAGAAAGGGAGAGAGAGTTAAGGGGAGAATTTCCATTATCATTTTGTCCACTTATCATGAATTCTTCTGTTCTCTAGGTAATTGGATTTACTTCGGAAACTGTAGCAGCCTTCATTGCAGTTGTAGGAATTCTCTCCATCTTAGCTCAAGTAAGTGCTGTGTATTTAAATCAAGAAATCTACGGGCACAATCTATGAAAAAACACAAATAGTCATGGACTTAAAAGCATTGAATAGTAATTTAGGGACAGAAAGGGAATGAACTCTTCGAGAATTATTGTCTTGATTTTTCACCAATATAGGGAATGTGACATCAGATAATATAGAAGTGGGAGGAAACACATTAATTCATCTTCTCAAGTCTTTCATTCCATCTTCGTAAAGTTTCTTTCAGAATCAATATATTTCTTGAATAGTTATCCTTTATTAAAAATAAAATTGACATCAAAACGACTGTTTGGATGAAGAAGGCCTTTTGACTATTCATCTCATCTTTCCATAATGCCTATCATATGATCTTCCCACTACAACATCGAACTGTTTCATATGCGTCTCAGCGTCCTGGCATCGACACCCTTCTGGATGCTTTCTACTAATCTCTCAAATCTTTGTTTCATTGCAGACCGTGGTTCTTGGTATCCTGATGAGGTCAATAGGCCATAAGAACACAATCCTTTTAGGTCTTGGCTTTCAGATTCTACAGCTAGCCTGGTATGGCTTTGGATCCCAGCCATGGTACGTTCATTTCAAGTGCTCCGGGACGCTATCCCTCGTGAAGGGCGCTATATAAATGCAAGTTGTTGTTTCAGTATGGCTGCCAGCACACTTATTAATGACCCAACATTTCTTGTAGGGAGCATTACAGATACTGTGCGTGCACGCAGAATGTCTTGACTTTGACTGGGTTAGGTTTTCCGCCGGGATCAGAAAGGCCCTACTGCAATTGATTGCAATAGAAATGATAAGCAGGCTGTCTGACTGCCTGCCTGGAAAATGTATGTCTAACAAATGTACAGATGTGGTGATGCATTCCCAGGAGGTTGAAGCCCAGGCAGAATAAGTGTTTTATGGCTTCTGTGGGTAGGGTTTCGCTAGTGATCATGCTCTACATGAAACAATTAGTCTCCAATTACTGGAGACATCTTACGTTAAAAACCAGGCTCGTCTTGAGTGGTTCAAGAAGCAGTTGTGAGGGGAGAGAGAAGCATAGTCACAAAAGGAAACTGTTAGACAGTGGTCATATTAGGACAGTGACATGTTAATTTCCAGAAGACCAGCTTCTGAATGTGTTGCTGCTAAACTGAAGGAAAGAAAAAAAGTCCCGAATTTAATTTAATGCTGCAGACATTAATCCCGCAGAACAAGTGCCCTTGTTTCTCACTGGCGAGACAAGCCCGTAATAAACCACTCGATTAACTGCAGCACCACTTGAGGTTATGAGCCAGTTGCTAATAGTCAATCCACGGCTGTTTGTGGGGACACTGCTGTGCGCAATTGGCTGCCGTGTTTCGCCCACAAAATATACAGTCAATTCACTTTACAGTATATTTATTCTGTGAAGCGCTTTGAGATGTCTCGAAGACGTGATAAGGCGCTATGAAATGCAAGTATTATTAATAGCAAGCAGTATATCATCTGAAAACTTTTATTAAATCACCTCCCATAACTCCTGCTTAGGTAATGGAAACGGGCTATTTGGCCCAACTATTTCTGCTCGTGTTTATACTCCACGACCCCTCCTCCCTTCCACCACAATCGCTGGGATTTCCAGTGGAGCCACATTCCTGTCAGCCAAATGTCTTCGGGTTGAGAGAGGGGAAACCCAGGATAGCAGGTGCGCACGGAGAGGAAAGATGATCGAACTGCTAATATCTCCTTTGTGAAAGGGTTCAGATACCTTTGCCCCACTCCCACCCCCCCCACCCCCGCTTCCCCTCCCCTCCCCTTAGTGGAACTGTCGGACTGAGCTAAGGAAAGCTTTTTTTGTGTGCTGCGTGCAAATATTTTGTAACATTTACATATTTAATGCTACAAGGCAAGATTGAGAGAGAAAGAAAGCCCATTCACCCCCCTCAGTCTCTCTGTCGTTTGCTGGAGCAGGTTCTCTCAGACACATACCTCTCCACCTCTCTCTGAAAAAGTGGCAGCTAAATAATTTGATGTAACTAAATGTTCAGCTTCTAGACTTTCGAAACTCACTCCTAATTGACAAGTGCCTAAGGATGACAACGTGAATTACAGCAGTATGTGATCTAGAAGTGGGAAGCTCTGGTACTTATTCACCTGTGTAAACATGGGAACCTGAAAAAGAGTTCTCCTCTGGAAGTTCTACTGAACCCTTCTTTGTTTAGAACGACTCTCAGAATTTGGAGAATAATTAACTCTGATGTTTTGTTATTGATGGGATAAGCCAGTTTTTATAAACCAGATATCAGCATTTGCCAAAAGTTGGTAAACAGCCAATCCCAGGATTTTTGTGACATGTGTCTCATCAATGAGCTGTGGAGAAGAGTGTTTTTTTGGTCAGGCTAATCATTAGAAATGGCCCACACCCTAAATAAATATTAATCAATCTTTTAGAAACTTCCTTCCTTTTTCTTATCACCCACCCACACCCTAATTGCTTTCTTCTCTTCGCTTCCAGCTCAGCTCTTGCTTAGAGAGAAGCCCAGAACACAGCTCGAAAGAAATAATACTAATTATAATATTATAATGCCTTTGAATCAGCACCTTATCACGTCATCAAGACATCTCAAAGTGCTTCACAAGATATACTGATAGGATAGATTGACTGTGTATTTTGTGGGCGAAACGTGGCAGCCAATTGCACACAACAGTGTCCCACAAACAGTCGTGGATCGAGTGACCACATTATTTTTTCCAATGAAATACAACTAGTAGCATTAAAGTAATGACAATTAAGTGTAGAGACAGTTTAACAGAAAACAACTTGTTCAGCTAAATCTATCTGATTGACTGTTCCCAATTCAGTGATTTATCCATTTCAACACTCGTGGCAGCAGCGATCATGATTGAAGTTGTGAAAGATTAGTTATGTGACACTGTGGCTTTGTGGAATGTTGTCTCTCCTCTCATTACTAGTGTTGGTTTTACAGGATGATGTGGGCAGCGGGTGCCGTGGCTGCCATGTCCAGTATTACTTTCCCAGCTGTCAGCGCCCTCGTTTCCAGAAACGCTGATCCGGACCAACAAGGTAGATCGTGTGTTTGAATTTTTCCTAATTCAGGAATTTGAATGTTTGCGTTTTGTGCTGTTTGTTTTTGTCCCTCTTCTCTTGATCTTCATCGCTCCAGATGCCAGGCAGGTTTTCTCTGAAACATTGCAACACTCTCTCTTTCTCTCTCGCTCTACCTCTCTATCCCTCCACCTTGCCACCTTCCTTCCCCATCTTCAGTTAGCGCCTGAAGACCTTCCTCTTCTACCATGCTTATGGTCAGTTGTTGTTGTCGAAAGTGAGCCAACATTGCTCACTTTTTAATTTAGAAGATTCTAAAGGGTTGGGAGCTGCTGTAGCAAATTGCTTTAAAAGATGCAGTTGGCAGGAATATCCAGTTAAATATTTAGAAGGTGACACTTCTGAAACTACATGCTATCCTGGAAGATCCAACTCTATATATCCGGTTATATGGTCCCTGAGAGATTATTATCCAATGGGTCGTTCTTGTCTACATTCCATCGTTCCCTGAACAGAATGTGCCACATTACACACTTGGCTGCACCGCTAGGTAAAAGGTAGAATCTTTACAATGATTAAGAGATTTAATCTAAACTAGTTCAGGTTCAGAAGGTTCTCGCTACCTCATTTCATTACTTCACTATTCAAATTTCTTCAATCCTTCCATTTAAAGAGGTTTGGTTTACTATCTTTCAATTATTTTTCTTCTTGGCAAAGTTTCATTCAATTTACTCTGCTATGGAAAATCCAGCTTTAGAAGCATTGAAAATGATTGGCTGTTTTGTCCGTGGCCCATATACTCTTAATACCAATTCCCTGCTCATTTCCAATAGCCTTTTAAATGGTTTCTTTCAAATGCTCATTTTTTTTTACGTTTCAGGTTTTCTTGTGGTAGTGATGAGTGGGACTGTGAAATGTCTTTCTAAATGTCTCCCTTGCCTCCTTCAAGGCCGTCTCAAAACCTTCTTCTTCGACCAGGCCTTCGGTCACTCTTCTACCCCTACCCTCCCTGCCGTTCGTCCCCCCTGATCCCAACCACCTGCTCAGATCCAATTCCAGCACCTTGGGACATCCTCCCGATCTGAAAGGCTCTGTACAAAGGTAACTTGTTGTTGTTAGGAGTGAGCTGATTCTTTTTTTGTCTCACAGGAGTTGTCCAAGGAATGATCACGGGCATCCGAGGGCTGTGCAATGGTCTTGGTCCAGCACTGTATGGATTTGTCTTCTACCTTTTCCACGTGGAGTTGAATGAAATGGGAGATGTGGATAATACCGGCAAAGCTCCCAAAGGCAATATGCAGAATCCCACCGATGAAGTAAGAGGAACCAGTTTCTCACTTACCTGTGATGCTCTGAAGATCTCTCGGCTCCTTTATGATTGATACGCTTCCAGCTCTTTGCTAGTCAACTCCCGAGCTGACCTCAGGTCATTGGTTGGGAACGTGTAAATACCGAATTCAGACCTGCTCTAAGCCATATTACTAGAGAGCGATCAGGAGCAGAAACTCTTGCTGACGTTTCCCTTCCTGAAGCAGCTGTTGAAGCAAATTTTATGCCATTTCTAGCACCTCCCCGGCTGATATTGGCGAACCAATTCATACATACAGTAAAACTCCCTGAGCTATTGAGAAGCCAGAATTGGATTTTAGTTTGGATAGAGATGTGGATTTTTGGTTCATATATTCAATTAATAATAATCCTCACATTTGACATAGCACCTTACCAATGTCGTTGAGACATCTCAAAGCACTTCACAGGATGTACTGTAAAGTGGAGCGACTGTGCATTTTGTGGATGAACCTTTGGTAAATTCAGAATTAATCTATGCAAACACTATTTCAGTGAGCGAATAGTGAACCTGTGGAACAGGCTCCCTAGGGAGACGGTTGAAGCAGGAAGTGTTAGATAGTTTTTTAGGAAATAACATTGAGGGATATAGTACATAGGTGGTTTGGGACATATGTGCATGCAACCTCCAGGAACGTGGGAGGCGAACTAGATGAACCTTGGTCTTTTTTCGTCTAGCATTTCTTATGTAAAAAATAAATAAAAGGTTAGGGGTATAAATTGTTGCTAATATCTTATTTTGTTCCTCTTCTTTGCAGAGTACTATTATTCCAGGACCCCCCTTTCTCTTTGGAGCATGCTCAGTCTTGCTGTCACTGCTGGTAGCCTTATTTATCCCAGAGCACAGCGGGCTTCCTGTGAGATCTGGAAGCTGGAAGAAACACAACGGACTCCAGGGCCACAGCCCACAAATCTCAGGCCCTGATGGCAAAGAGCCCCTGTTACAAGATAGCTGTGTATGATGAGAAAGCACCTTGCAATCCTCCCTCCCGCTTAAGACGTACGGAGAGATGGATGTGGATGCCAACCCAATGTTTTCTCATTTGGGGGAATTTGAATAGTCCCTTTTTTCAGTTTTTGGAACTTGCAAAGGTTTGTTTCCGTAATTTCTTTTAAAATTAATTTGTTAAACTCCTTTATTTTTTTCATAACATTCACTGGTTCCATTTGGCTTATTGGAGTCTTTGAGAGCTTCTGTGGGTTGTTTGAAGGAGAGATGGGATCAATCTAGAGGCTGTTATTTTCACATCCGGGAGGTGAATGCCCTGCATAATCAGTGGAGGAACGCAGAATTCAATCGGTAAAGCTTCTGATGGGGAAAGAATTTGAATTTTATAGCTGTACTTTGGCTTGTCGTTCTTCTCCCTTGGCTGAACAACTAAGATTTTATTTTATTTTTTTCACAAGTTGTACCTGAAATTCATAGTTGACTTATTGGAAAGCCTGCAGACTGTTTTATGGTGTCTTCCTCCTCCCTTCTGTCTATTTTCCGAGTATTGCACTGTTCCTCAGTGACACAACCAGGTTTAATTACTGCCAACACCAGCATGTGACTGACTATTAGAAATTGTAGAGAAATGATCTTAAGTGGTACCTCTTTGGGTTTATTTCCTGAGTCACCTAATCATGTGGGAAACTGAAGTCCCTCTCTACCACCGACCCATCCATCCTATATAATAGGGCGGTCCATTCCCCCCCACCCGCCTCGATTTCATCTAGCACACCCCCTCCCTCCATAACCCGTAAATGTTATATTTCTCAAAGGGAAACACAAAAATATTGCTTATTTGGCCCGCGGACATTTCTCAAATAGGGCATCCAGCCCTTGGCAGTCAAGACGTTGTTCCACCCTGCGATACAAGATATTGCAGTTAAAAAGCAGTTTTGCCTTGTGCCAAAATAGGCCCTACTGCACAAGCTTGAGCTACCCTTTACACACCAGTATATCCCATCCCAAAGCAGCATTCCGATTCAGTTCTGATCTCAATGATGTCACCCGGTTCACAGCCTCAAGTTCTGGTGTTAACCCGCACTTCTCCAGCCTGTTTCTATGCTAGTGCATGTTGCAGCATTGGTCCCACGACCATGAGCAATAGCGATATTGCTAACAATGAAGCTAAATTCAGCTGACAACTTATTTGAAGCTAGTTTTTAGTTTGCAGCTACAAACTTATTCTGGCATGAACCTACCTTCAGTATTAGAATTCCAAAGACATTTTGATGCATTTGAAATTCCTGTCCAACCGCCCACCCACCCCTCCTGCAGTGTAGGGACTTGGCAGTTAAAAAGCAGGTTTGCTCACTCCGTTTAGTTCAGGCTACGGGTTAATGAACTTTTCACTGTCAAGTCATCTAGTTTCACTTTACTGTTTGCCTTCTCCACTCTTAGAGTTCAAAATGGATTTGTTATCGAAATGCTCAAAGTAATTTTCTTTTTCCCTCCTCAAATTATGTAAAATTATTTCTTTCCACTGTTATTCCTGGCCCCCTGCCAATGAAAGTCCCGAAGAGGGTGGGTTGGGTTTTCAAACTTGGATTGAAATGCTTTGTGCACATAATTTGGAAAAGCAGCTTTTTTTCAATGTTTCTCTTAATTTGAGTAAATGAGGCAAACATGTTAAATCACTTTTAGAAAGCCTGTTCATGCTGTAAATCACAATTTTCAGTTTGGGTGGTTTAATGCGGCGATTTTCCAATGCATGCAAAATGAAAACTTGACTGAATTGTCCACACATACAATATACGCCCCCTCCACCCCCTTCCCTCCCTCTCCCCACAAGTACAATAAGATGTCTTATGCCCTTTTGTATCTTACTTAAATGGCCATTATTCATGCCTGAGCCTAGATGAGCTATTAAGTCTATGGACCAGGTTCTTTTTTTACTCAATGTCACACATTGAACCGCACAGCAGGAAGCACCTGGATAGTGATCAGGAGTGGGGAATCCTAGCTGATTTTTTAGAGCCTTGCTTTTATTTATTAAGAGCCTTGCGTTTGCGTTTTTTTTTTTGCGGGGTCCCTAACTCGGGGACGTTGGGACCAATTGTAACTAGGATCAGCTAATTCTGCTCAGCCTGGAATAGGAACGTGTAACTTTGAGGTCCATACGCCCCATTCCTGGGCCATTTATTCACAGAGCATTAGGGGAGGGGAAGAATGCGAAATGCGGTGAGTGACACCAAACTTCCTAACTGCACCAACGATATCTCGCTGGTCAGGTCAACAGTATGAGTTTTAGTCTGAAAAATGTATTTGTGAGTGTTCACACTTTATATAGGACGGGGAGAGCAGGGCACAAGTCCATTAGTAATGTAAATGCATATTGTTTGATTAACCCACAAGTTAATAAGTGACATTGCGTGATGCAGTACCAGTTACACAGTTCCAAACAGTTCCTGAAAAAAGCGAGATGGAAATTTTCAAAAAAAGCCTATTTTTCATTTATAAATGTTAGACCGATTATGACATTTGATTAAAAAAAATTCATTACCCATATGACGAGTTTAATCTGATGGGCTAATATCTTTATTAACTGCTCCCATGTGAGCACTGTGAGGTAGCGTAGACCTCGAGAGGATGTTTGTACTGGTAACCAAGTACTCAGAAGATAGTTGGTGTGACTTTTATAATAAAAGTTTAATATATAATATATAACCAAACGCGTTAGATTATTTTCACTCGATTGGCCTGGCAGTAGGCACCAAGGAGTTTAGCTTTAAAGCATGTAACTGTCTTAGAGTGGAGCTGGGACTTGTGTGTTTTTTTAAAAAAAAAGGTCTTGCAATATATGTGCAAAGAATCGATGCGTTAATAAGCAGATGACTTTTTCTTTTGATTGTTGAAAGAATATCAAGCATTTCAAAGTCTGTTCTTTCCCTGTGTTTCTACACATGGCTTGAGAAAGTCGCATTTTTCTAATTGTTCCGCAAAAAACAAATTGGCTCGCCTTTTTGATAGAACTTTTATTTAAAGCAGAAAATATATATATGTATGTATATATATATAATATATATATTTTCAGTGTCCGAAAAGGTTGAGTGAGGGATCAGTTGTCCTTAGGCAGTCAGTCGGGGCTGACACCACAATTCCAAGCTTCCCAGTAAAATATATTTAAAATGCTGTGGTGGTACATTGAAGCATGGGTGATTAAAGCAAATTCAGACAATTGTTGCAGATTTTAAATTGCTTTATAAATCAGGAAAAAAGTAGGAGCGTGTACCAACTCAAACTGCTAAATGTCTGTTCATTGTGCTTGTTATAATTTGACAAAGCTTTGTGTTTATATATTCCGTCTGGTAAACACTGAAACAATATATAAAAGATTGATGGCTTAATTCATTATGCCTTGGATTGGGCACAGCATAGGGCTATTGCCTTACAAGATTGACGTTGAGTAAAGAAAAAATGATGGAAATGCGTATAGGATAGATTCTGGGGCTGGTCTGCTGTATTTCAGATTTTCAACAAGTGGGATTCCTCCACTTCCCCATCCTAATCTCTCAAATTGTACAATATTGGTTTTTGAACAGCTGTTTATTGCTGCAATCCAAACACTCTTAATTTGAGGTGATTACTGAGGAGCACTGCACAATTTGAAAGCAGTGCTGTGTTAAGCACTTACTTCCCTTTAATAATTCCGTTCACTAAATAATCCCAGTGAGAACACAGCTATTTAACCTGCTACCACCAATTTATTATCTAAGAAAGGGCATTAGTAGTACTGTAAGTAATATCTTGCTGTTCCGCCTACTTGCGTAAGAGTAGAAAATGCACATGGGCTTGTTAGAGAAGAGAGTGTTTCAACGGTTTTTCTATTAAATATTGAAATGATTAGGCAGTTTAATTTTATTCAGAGTGCTGCTGTACAAAATTCAAATAAGCTATCTTTGCGTCTTGCCTTATACAGGGATAGATTTCCATGTTTGTTTTGGATATGACTCTCTTCTCCCCCCCCACCTCCCTTTCCTCCCCAAAATGATCGAGATTTAGAACTAAGGGAAGGGTCGCTGGCTTTTGCGAGGCAAGCGGACTTGGTGTGTTGGGGTGTGGTTTACAGTTGGCAACTGGTGCTAATAGCAGGGAGGCAGGCATCAGTGCTGGAGGGGTGTCCATTTAAAACTCAATATAATCTCCACAAAGTTGCACAAACATGCTGACCGCTCTAGCATGTATTGCAAGTGGGAACGCAATGAAACTTTTTTTTAAAAATATATGTAGAAATGAAAACACTATGGAAGGTGCTTTACCTTAATACCTTCGGCTTGGCTGGGTGTTCTAACACGAGACAGCAGAGGGTGGTGTTGGGTTGAAGATGAAGTGTGAGTAACTGAGACAGTTGGGAAGCCATTGGGTGAAGGGCGTGCATAGCAGAGCACAGGAATGTTTTTACTGTGTGATTAATGGCTGTCTCCCATTCTAGCTCCTGTTTTGTGCAGTGTGCAGGTGCAAGAGCTGTTTTATACTCACTGCAAAGAGGGAGAGAGAGAAGCTGGGATTTCAGAGGTGGGCAAGCTGTGCTGGAGTTAGTATTAGTATTTGAGAATAGAGACAGGAAGTTCAGTGGTGATGAGTAGTGGTATTCATCGTATGAGCGTACAATTGTATTATGCAACTCCCAGGTGCAGTGCTCATACCCGTGTTTGAAGTGAACATAATAATGTGGTGCTTTTGCACTTCAACTCACAGCCCAGCCCACCCCTTGCGCCTCTTACTGTGTCAGTGTGCCACCACAGCACTGTACGTCATACACTGGTCTTGCTTTGTTATCCTGTGTGCGATTTCTTTCATTAATTCATTCCGACTATAGTCATGATGGAGCCTGTGAGCAAAGACACTTTATAATTTTAATACAGCTTTCCTACTGGTGCAAGATTAAAACCTAAGCCTCACCTTTTTTATTTTTGAAACATGATTATGTGCTTGTTTACACGTCCCTTGGGAGCTGAATTACAGTCAATGTTATTGTCCGCTCTGTGTTGGTCCCTTAGTGAGCAGAAGAGTATTCTCTATAATAGAACGGCAGCGCTATAAACTGCACGAATAATAATTGTGCAAACCTCGTGCCATGTCGCCTGCTTCAGAGCTGGTTCAAGTACATTCAAACTTTATTTGCAA